CTAAAATGGCTTGTGAACATTTTCAGTCTTTACCATTTTACGCTTAAAAAATTCAATTTATTTGTAAGAACTATTCAAGTATCTATAATAACTTCTGTCATTATAGTCTCCATACAAACTAAGTCCATACATGGATAAACAATATACATCAATTATATTTACTTTAAAGTATTTTCAGCTGTTGAAGTAAAAACTTCTAAGGTTCAATCTATTAAATATTAAAAAATTTTACAATGTTAATATTTAATACTTAATGTTATATTTTCAAATAATATATTTTCTAATTAAATATTTTTTATTCATATATATTTCTTTTGAATAATTTTATATCTATCCAAATTAAATTTGTGATCACACAAATAATAAATATAGCACAACTTATTTTTAAAAATAAGTATCTTATCTTTAAAAATCGCCCTGTATTAAAAAAAAAATATTTTTTAGGTAAAAGTGATAAATTAAATAGAATAAATTATATCATTTAACTTATAATTATACAGACTTATTTAACATAATATAATCACCAAAATAAATCAAATGTTATCTTTGGTAGGATAACTACCAAAGATAACATTTTTCGTTGGTTGGGTTCATATTTGAACCTTTTTTACAATGCCAAACTTTACTAAACTCTTTAGAATTGGCTAATGTACCAACTACTCTTATGTAGTTTGGGCTATGTTCATCAGACAAAGACTGTTTCATTGATGACTTTGTAGATGTTTCACACCAGTTCTAAAAATGTATAATGATTTAAATTAAAATATTTTATGTTTTTTTAGTTTAATCAAAAATTTTTTTTGAGAATCCAAACCATAATAAGAATGTCACAATATAAAATGAATAATTTTTTAAGTATAATTGTATTTTTTTAATGAACTGTAACTTATAATTATAATAATTAATACTTACATTAGCAAATGACAAAAAAAACAGTTGTTCTGGGTTATATTCTTCTAGGCCTGGTAGTTTTGGTTCAATATCATGATCACAGATATATTTTCTATAACCTAATAATGCCTCTTTAAGTCCTCCATTATCAGCAATATTCTCATTCAAAGTTAATATTCCATTTACCTAAAAATTTAAAAATATAAGATTTTTTAATGAAAATAGCTCAGTAAGCTAATTAATATTAATTACTTTTTTTTTTAATATTGATGTTGTAATAGACTCATAATGGTCGATAAAACATTTGGTGCGTTTATTATACTCTTCCGTGGAGTTGTTTGTCCACCATATTAATTCATTGCCATTTTCATCATACATTCTTCCAGTATTATCAAAACTATGAGTTAATTCATGACCCAGAATAGTACCCAAAAAACCATAGTTTAAAACTCTAAATATAAAATTTTAATAAATTTTAATCTATTACAACTATTGGAATTTTCTTACTGTAAGTCATGACCAAAAAACGGAAATTGTAATATTGCTGCTGGAATAGCTATAAAAAAAAGGTATTTCGTGTTTTTAATTATAACTAAATAATTATTTATGAAGATTTATCAAGAATATAAATTACTTATAGAATTTCCTTGAATGGAACTATAGGCATTAACAGTTAAAGGATCAATCACTTTCCTGAAATTTTTATTTACTTTAAATATTATTCATATTATGATTTTTTTTTTGTTGAATAAATAAATTAATGGTATATAAATTTGGATATAATGATTGATTTTTAATAGTTGTCTACAGTAAAATTTTGTTTAAATATATACGGAGTGTTTCTGTTATTATAAACTTTCTATAACCTGCCAAATAAAAATAATGTCGCCTATAGGCAAGAATAGGGTCACATTTCCTTTTTCTAATATTATACCAAAATTATTTGTCAACTTGATTAAATGGTTCATAATTACAGAATAACTTTATGTATTCATATTTTAAGTAGATTTTTTTAACCCATTAGAATCATTGCAGTTTTTCCCAAAGAAATTAGTTTGTCTTTCACCGGGTTGAGGGATGGTAATTCCAATTACTGAGCTTTTTTTTACTTAACAAACCAAACGATCGTACAATCTCTTTCATTAAATTAAGATAGACAATATTTTAGTCAAACTACTAGTAAATTTAAATATATATTTCAATAGATAATTGTATTTATTAATTAATTTATGTTTAATATAAATAAATATTAATTATATATACTTACCAATTGTCACTCGGAAAATCATTTATAATTCTTAGCGTTTTTAGTTCTGCTTCAACAATGTTTTGTTGGTATCTTACGACATTTCCTAAGAAATCATCTTCCGTAACATTATACTAAAAGTAAAAAATTAGCTATACAATCCATGAGAAATTCTAATACTACCATAGTATTTTTAAATTTTAATATGCATGTGTATATATGTTGTTAAAATTTACGTTCAAATAATATTCATCAAGTTCATTTGAATCAGCTATAAACTCAGGAAACCCAACAAGGGTTTTAATACTTTTCTTTTTCTTTAAAGTACTTTGTTTTGTTTCTTCGTCCATCCAATCTAATTCAGCTACAATTTTGTCAAATGCCCAATTTATGTTATTGATCATATCTGTCATCTGAAAATAAAATGTTTTATCAGTTCTAAAGTACAAAAAAAATTGTAACATACCATGTTTTTTAAGCTATTTGGTATTTGTAAGTCTACCAAAAAATGTGCTACCGCATGTCCCATTGCATTATTCACTTCTTTAGCACAAGTCATCGTTCTAGGCTCGTGACTATAAATTCCATTGATTTCGTTCATTAATTTATTAGCAAAATTCATCCAATCTTCTGAAGTATAAGGAATCAGCTCAACAATAGTCTTCCACCATAAGCTTACGACTTTTGTAAACATTAATTTTATTTCATCAATTTTAATAAATTAAAGTTATCAACAATTATTTGTATATAAACCAATATAATTCAGTATTTAAATGTTATGTTTAATGGTTATATTGAACAATTTTTTTTATATGCGTTAAGCTTTTGTATTTTCTATGAACAACAATTTTTATTTTGATGAATAGTTAAATTGGGATTAGCGGAGTTATTTTTAATATTTTAATAAAAGCTTTATTATACGACAAGTCACTAAATTCTATTAAAACTAGTGTTACAATGAATCTTTCAGTTATATATTGAAGTAAATTTTATGGTACTAAAGAGAAATTAAATTGCAAAGAACAGCAAAGTTTCCTTTCATAATTTATTTTATATCAAAAAATAATATAAAATCAATAGTTTGTTAATAACTGTTTTCATGAGTTCCTTCATTTTAATTTTCCTAATTATAAAAATACCAATACTAATTTTTAAAGTTATTGTTATCGTTAAATGAGAGAAATAAATAGTTGAAATGGAGACAAATAATGTATGATTGAAGTCAAATATTTAACAAATGCTTGAATTTTATATGTACGATGTGCATATTTTATATTTACAACAAAAATACTTGCTATGGCTCTAACGTAAAAGAGGAAGAAGTGAATACTGAGTTAGAGATGTGAATTATCGTAAGTTCTAATTATTATAATAAACTTGCCCAGTATTTCATTTTCCTCAGTGGATAAAATTTTGTGTAGATCTTGAAAATATTCCATATTACTTATTTGCAGCATATCTTTATCAAAATCTAATGTAACATTTTCCACATTCTCAAATAATTCAATGAAGTATTCTTTCCAATTAATCTATATATTTTGAAAAATTACCATTAAATTGTTTTTTAACCATCAACTTTAATTTTGTTGAATCTTATATTTCTACATTCTTTAAGATTATAATCATTAATATTATAGCTTTTATTAAAAAATAAACCTACAAGTATAAAAAAAAATTAAAATATATAAATACTTTTTATTTTTTGGATTTTTTTGCAATATTTTTTATTATATAACAATTGAAAATTAATGAAGGTAAAAAAAAATTTCTTAAATCTTAAATTTATAGAGCTAATAGCGTTTTTATAGTAAATACAGTATTAAAAGTTTTGAAAATCAAAACATTCATAAATGTTTCCTATAATGGTTAATAAGTAAAATAAATGAATTTCAACAATACTTAAACAAAAAATAATACTTTGAATAAAAGAAAAAATTATTATAAACTATAATCTCTATATTATTTTTAGTGATCAGCTAAATCTATCTATCTATCTATATATATATATATTGTATTTGTCCATAATATATATTCCACCGTCAACCATTTCAGAGGCAGTTACAGGCGCAGTTAAACAGATTAAATTATCAATAAATTTTCTATCGATTTCTCATATCAATGCTTTCAATAATAATTGATTTCAATCGAGAAGTCATTATTGATTTTTTTAATTAATAAAAGTAAATAACAGTTAATTTATACTCACTAAACTAGCTTTTCCATTTTTTTCGAAATATTTTTGGAACTCGTCAATGGTCATCAATTTTTTAGTTTTTATATTATGGTCGTAAACATTATCTTTAAGCTACAAAAATACAATTTGATCCAAAAAAATAAGTCTTTAATGTATATAAAAACAGTAGACTTTAATAAATAGATAAATTTATAACTTGTATAATATCAAACGTACCTTAATGATTAATTCATCAAAATAATATATTTGTGTAGCTAATTCTGATAATCTACGACTTGACATGGAATAATTTGCATTTAACGCGAAAATACTTGTAACTACTCGAGCAAACAGCTTATAAAATATTTGTTGATTCAAGTCATCATTTTTTTCTCGAGAATTTCTGATATTTAATTTGTTACTATAAAATACAATCATAGCTTATTTTAACCAAGATATTATTTTAATTACTAGCTTACAGAGGTAATATATTTGACTGGTAGTTGGGTCTGGCTAAAGAGATAATATTAACAGTTCGATTTTTTGAATACTTTTGAACACCTGAGTAAAATAAATATTCTATATTTACAATTTTTTTTGCACGAGCAAACAATTTAGTTGAAGCTGAAGTGCTTATATTTGCTTTTATAGTAATTTTTGGGAATGAAATTTTATCCAAAATATCTATTAGAGTTTTAATAGAGTGAGTCTCGTTTATATCTACAAAAGAAACATAAATAGTTTATTCCTATTTGTATAATAAAATGGGTATTTATAATTAACTTATACTCATGCAAGAACGATAAAACATTCTGGCTTTTAATACTGATTGAGGCTCTTTTCCAGTTTCATTTTTTTCCATGAAATCTATAATTAAAAATATGTTATGCTTTAAATTTTAGTTAAAAATATTGTTAGAATACTTATAACGTTCAATAAAATTTCTGTATCCAATTCGTCAAATCTTGTGTTGTCATTCGTTGTATGAAGTATGGTATTTTTTTTTGGATAGTTACCGCAAGCAAACTGATAAAAATCTTCACACGGATCTACACTTTTGTTCATTGACTCGATAAATGTCCAGGCTAAACAAATAGTAAAAATTCATCACAGTTATTTTAAAAATAATCTTTAACACTATTATTAAACGATGAGTAATTATAATAACATAAAACCATTAACATTAAATTCAAGTAGTTGTCTTTGACTCACCAGTTCGTATACAATCAGGTGTGGTACAAACTGATTTTATTTTACTTCCATCTATAAAAGTAAATAACTAATTTATCTGTGAAAATATTAAACGAGAAGTCTTAAAATTGTAGTATATTATTTTTGTTTCCATAATCAATCAATTTAAACGAAAAATGAAAATAGATTATTAAAAATATGTACATTTAAATGATTATCAAAAAAGTATATAAGATTTTGTTTCCCTGAGGATAATATATTTAAAATTATTTTTTGGTCTTAAAAAATATTAATTTATCATATTTTAGTTAAAAGAAATACATTTTTTGGCAAAATATAATTAAAAAAAGGTCAATTACTTCCAAAATACGCCCCTTAAAATTTGCTATATTGGCAGCAAATTTGAGCAATGACCCTGACCATTGCTCCCTTTGCTTTCCATAAGTGTGCCATTAATGGTAAACCTGATTGACAACACCAAAAATTAAACATTAATAAGTTATACTCACTTAAGTTAGTATATGCTAAACTAACTATTAATACAAATAGTGCAATAATGAAAAGTAATAGTATGAAAATAATATAAGATTGCTTTCGAACACTTGTTATGATTTTAGACCTGTTAAATGAACAGAATAATTTAAATCATGAGGTTCATAAAACATTAAGTTTGTTTGAACAATAACTTAATTATATTAAATTATACATTAAAAAGTTTAGTATTTACCTATTAGAGTGATATGAATTGATATCATCAGCTTCATCAAAGTTATTTAACTCATTATTACTCGCACTGTTTTTTGGTAATTTATCTTTATTTGGATTTTCTGAAAAATCATATATCATTTTTTAATAAACAAAAATTAATGCAAAAATCATTGAAATTTTATGCTGGTAATGTTTTTAAGTCTTTGGACAATTCATATTCTTTCATGGTATTTTTATTAAACAAAATCAACTTACTGCAAATTACTAATAAATAATTTAAAAATTGTTGTATAAATTTATCGGGAAAATTTACACAAGTCAGTGATAATTAAAGTTATTATACTATAAAAATTATTAATGGTAAATTTTTTTATTAGATATATTCATTAATAAATTATATTAATTTTTGTTAAAAAAACATTTTCATGTTATTTGTTATTATAAATTTTATATTATTTATAAATTAATTTAGTTATTTCTGAACTAGCTAGAAATAAATGAACTACATTTTAAAGTAAAATTAGGTATGCAGTTATATAAATTAAAAAAATCTTCCTGACAATGGTTTAATGTAACTCTTTTATTTAAATTATTAGGTATTCAAGTTTCAAAAGATACTCCCGAACAGCATGATTGAAACAAACGTTTTAGGAAAAATTAATCAAATATAAATTTATAATTTTTAAGTTCAATTAATATTAATTTTAAAAAAATGTATGAGTATAATAATGGTATTATTTGGCACTTCTTTTAATTATACTTTTTAAATACTTCAAAGTTGGCATATAAACAACTTATTTATGTATTTCTAAATTTATGATTTGCTTAACTTAGACTATTTATATTTTTTAGAAACATTTAAAATTATTTTTCTTTATCTCCTCAAATATTATTATAGATTTTTATTACACTATAAACCTATAAAATATAAATATTATGATAAAAAGATTATGATCTTTGTTTATAGACAGTTCTAACATTTTTGTTAAAGTTTAAATGTAAGTTATAAGTTAAACACTTTTGTGACATTTAGAATAAGTTTTGATTAATAAGTGTCTAAATTACTTGGTATTTTTCATTTCCTGGATAATAAAATAGTAAACTAGTCTTACTTTTATAGTAATAATAATACATATACATGATTTTTTGATTTTTACTGAAAATCTCCGTAAATATTTAGTGTACTATAAATATTGAATTATTATTTCTGAATTTATATTTATAATTGTAGCATAAATAATTTATAATTTTAAAAATGTATAACTACTATAGTACTTTCTACGACCAAATTTTGTAACTTCAACCCTATTTGAAGAGCATGGTATTATTGTTACTAAAAATGTTGATTGGCTACTCATCCAAAGATTTCCGAAAATTGTATTAAGATTTTATAATATATTGTAAAAAATAAAATATTAGTCTTATTATATCACGCCTTTTTACAACGATTCATTATTGAATTGAATAATTATTATAATTATTTTGCAATTTAATTACAAAAACATACCCATTTTAATCGAAGAAACAATAATCTGCTTTCGTCGTCCTTTTTAATGGCTCACTTACACTGTACTTAAATAATAATTTCACTCAATTTATTTTCAGTCTGCAATCATTTAACTTTAGTGATATTCTTTGGTGAATAACTGGAAATAACAGCTTAGCCTCTAATATATATGTTTTTCGTGCCAACAACGAGTCAGTATTAAACAAATTATTTTTACTTATATTATATTTTTATTAAGAGTAGCTCAGTCGAAATCGTAAACATTTCAATGTATATATCTAGTTTTGTTCGATTCATATTATATAAGACCAAATATTTAAAAACTATTTAGAGAAACATTCTTACGGTTGTCTTGCCAAAGTAATTAAATTACTAATAATCGAATGACTAGGGAAATTTATTATTTCATGTATAATTGTTAAGACATTATTAAACTTATGAACTTAATTTTAACAATAGAGTAGCTTACAGAGTAACAGTAACTGACACACAATAACAACATTAATACAGTTTTTCTGTATTAAATATCAATAAAATGATATTTAATGAAATAAACTATGGAAATATAAGTACTCTATAATTTCCAAATACAAGGAAAAATCCTCATTGACGGTTAAATAATTTTTCCTTAGAGAGTAGAATAAAAAATGTAAATATTAAACAACCACGTTACCCCGTGGAACTTGATCATTTGTCTATTTTATTAGGAACCCTTTACTTATGGAAACCACATTTTTTTATTGAAAGAATTTGTATTTAGTACAAAAAAATTATTTGCTAAGTTATTTATTTGTCCCATTTACGGGAAAAGAGGGAAATTCTTAAATATAATACTTTTGAAATCTACTAACATTGNAAAAAAAAATGATTTGCTAAGTTATTTATTTGTCCCATTTACGGGAAAAGAGGGAAATTCTTAAATATAATACTTTTGAAATCTACTAACATTGCGTTACTTCGTATAGTTAATGAGATTTTGATAACTTATTGTACATTTAATTTATTAAAAAAATAACGGATTAACATCAATTCATATGACCCTTTATGGCCGAACCTTACACAATAGCATATAGGTCGGTCATAAGTCATAGAGCACATACGTTACTACCAGTCGGTAGATTCTTCTTGCGATTTTCTCATTGGTGGGTTTTTTGTGTATAACCAATTCGTCAAACTATTACGTATACCCACAAAATTAATATACAAATAAAATGATTATAGCACAAAATATATAGGAAGCATTAAAAGAAATATAAGTTTTATCACTATTTACAGAGCTATAATATTGTTTTAAGTGAGTACTCTACTCTCATTGAAGAGATCTGACTGGCTACAGGGGCTTTACGGACAAATTCAGTGATGATTATTTAAAATTACGAAGAATCTATTCTTGAAATAAAAAGAGAACAGTCTATTCTTTAATACTGTATAAAACACTTAATTATTGTAAGTTAAATAATTTTTGATTATGTATAGTTTTATTTATTAATATTATATATAGCCATTAAATAATAGTTTTAATGGCTAAAAATAAAATATTTTTTTTTTATTAAATGAAACTCTAAATAGTCTGTATTACATATCGACGTATACCATAAAAGAGGTAATCTAAAAAACAGAAAAAATTACAAATGAGATTGTTTATAAACTTTGTGTTGATGCGAGAATTACAATGTAACTGAAATAAACTTAAAATGTAAAAAAAACCTTTTAATAAATACTACTGACCTATCAATACCATGTATGAAGAAATCATTACTATTACACCAGGAATTGGGATACACCTTTCTGACTCATTCATTTCTTACTTCAAAAAATGAAAAATCAATTTGTAATACATTCTTACAATATAATATGTCATCACTGATTGCTCAAAATACTAAAATGCCATAATAATTCTAAACAAAAATACTTAGAAAAGAATAGGGAAAGTTTATTACAAACCTAATTTAACTAATTTAGTTGTAAATAAATTATACTGTATAATATGTATATACATAACATAGTAAAAATAAAAATAAATTAATAACCATTGAAATATTTTAATAAAGAAAAAAATAGTTTTATATGTTATATTGAAAAATAATTATAATGTTAGTTTATGATAAAATTATGTTTTAGCTATTTAAAATATTATCAGTAATATATTATACATTTATATTTAAGTCTTTGTAGAGTTCATCTGCTGGGAGATAGTTATAGGTCCGAGGTTGGAGTTATACTGCCGATTTAGCTTGTTTCATCTTTGTTATTGTTGTTATTATTTTTATTTTTGTTGTTTTAGTTGTTGTTGTTACTGTTTTTGTTATTTTTTGTTTTCATTAAATGTAAAAAAAATTGATTAATAAACTACTTTATAACGTTAGCTGAGTGCATTTTTTGACGAAAATTAATTAATTATGCAATTGGATGAAACGTTTATTTTAAATGTATTTTATTGAAATTTATATTTCTTAATTAAAACTATTAATAATATGAGAGCATAACACAATTTTCCTTAAATAATCAACTTATTTCGTTTTTTTAATATCTACAATGAATATGTATTAACTATCATAACAGTCTCACTTTAGGAACTAGTTAAATTAAGTAAAGAGATAAATTTAACACTTTAGATCAAGGTTGATAACGTATTGTTACGAGCACCATTGCAAAAGTTTAAAGGGATAAGAGGAGAAGCCAATTATTTTGATCACCGTTGATGATTAAGCAACTTAATAAATAGTAATTTAACATATAAATATTTGATCACGATTGATTAAAATAAATTAATACAGTTATGACTACCATTGAAAAATTGACATATTAAATTTAAATGGTTAAAAAGAAATAAAGAAAAGCTTACCCAGTGACGCAGCGAATATCGATGTCAATCTAGTAGGCAATATAATTATTGAGAACACTGAATGACTAATGAATAGGATAATAATGAAGGCAATGGGGATGTAGTTTATATTGGATACTACTACTTGTGTAGTGTAAGTTAATTATTTAATAGTTATTTGTTTTAGATATTAATTTATAATAAATAAAAGCCTATTTACATTTTTTAAATTGTATATTCTTGTTTTGATTGATATGTAACATAAAACAAATTTACAAGCATTATTATTCATTTTATAAAATAAAAGTACATTAAAATATAATATTTTTAATAGAAAGTTAATATGCAGAGACAACGGACTCTTTTAAAACTGAAAAACGGGAATGTATTAATTTTGTATTTAAATTTATAGCATACCAGTTCGAAAAATAAAAACTTATTTTAGTATTAAAAAAATTATATTATTTTTAAGAGATAAAAAAAAACAATTTTTTAAACTGCTTTCAAAAGTATTTTTGGGAATAATCTTTTAAGGTAGTATTGCATACTGTTAGTAGTTAGTTCTGATTACTAACATTATTTAATAATATTAAAATAATTTACTGAGATAATAATAACATGAATTGTTTAAATTACATAATTTTTTTTTGCAATGAAACTGTACTAATCGGTGCAATGAGACCCGAGATAAAGTAGTGAGAGACACGAAAAAAAAATTATACTTCATTATGGTTAAATTAATATATTTATATTAACGAATTTGAACAAGAGTTATAGACAATTTATTCGCTATCACTTAACAAATAAAACGTGACATAAGAGAAATAAAAAAAACACATTTTGGTCAAAATGGTGAGTAATGCAAAATATGTTCATACGAATGTAAGGTGAGCATTCCAAAACACATTTAATATCGTAAGATGTTTAAATCCCATAAACTCTGCGTATACTAAAATAGTACCAGGAATTCAGAAGACCAAACGCTAAATTTTTGATAGATTCCATCACGTATCACTCCTGTAAAATGTCAATCAAGTAAATGAGAATACTGATAGCAAATTGTATCAGGATTTCATAAGATTGTTAAATTTTTCTTTTCGTCCAAAATGAAAGTACGTCGCATTCATTTGGTGCCAACAATGTGGTGATAAGTAGACACCTATTTTTTAAACAGCTAGATACATGATAACCTATTATATATATTATATTTACAATAATTACAAATAAATTATACCAGGAGTTCATAAGAGTGTCACGATTTTTTCTTTTTACTAAAAGTGGTTGGGTGCTACAAATTCGTTTGATGGCGCGACGTCAACTATCCCACAAAGTTAATACATTTTTATAAAACCTTTTTAACACTTGATAATTCTTTTATTATACCTAGTTATCTATCTTTAATGATGACACAAAATATTCTATAAAATGCATGAAAATATTTAAGGCTTCAAATATTGTTTAAAATTTCAGTTTGCAAAAAATTTAAAGACCAAAAGAAATGTTGTCATTGTGCTTACTATCAAATACTTAAAATAATTACATTTAATATCAGTTTAACAATAAAACTATATAGAATAATCTAAAGATCTACATGATATATTAAATAAATTACAGATAATATGAGGGTGCTGAGAAGCCACAGCACTTCAAATTGCACAAGCAAATACGAACTAAACATAATCAAACATGTTATAAATAAAATTGTCTATTTTACTGAGAGAAACTTTAAAATGCTATTTTATTAGAAATATATTACTAAATATATCATCCGTTATCTCTTGGATAAATATATTAAATATAAGAAACTATTGTTTTCAATAAAATTAGTATTTCGATTTAAATTAAATTTAATATTATGCGTAAAAATAGTTTTTAAAATAAATCTTAATATTTGCAGGATGCTACTCACTATATTTGTTATTAACAATAAATATAACTTTTTCGAATAATTAAACATTTTTTAGTATCTTAAATAGATCAATTTACTCAAATGCAGAAAGAATAATAACATGGTAATTGATTTAGGGCAGTAATGTCAGTCGATATCTCGAACGCTCATGTACAGCAGCGCATACGGGACAATTAACAGTGATAAACGCCTTGCTCTCTTACTGGTTCCCTTAACCATAATGAGGTTGCGTCAGTTCGACAGCCATTATAGAACTCCTGTCAATTTAATAAGGTAGAGTCGACCCTAAATAGTTGGGAAGAGGCTAAGGAGATGACGATGACAGAAAAAATTAGAACAAAAAAAGTCACTTTGAAATGTGTTATTTCAAATAGTGACATTCAAATAAAATATTGTTATTATTACTCACAATAAATAAAAAAAATGTATAAAAAGTCTTTTACGTATTTATCATAAATAGTTTAGAGAAAATTACAATCATTTAAATTAATTAAAACTATAAATGATAGAATTTATGTAACATAGTATACAATATTAATTTAGTTCAAAATGGCACATGGTATTTTTCTGTTGTGCTGTGCCCTGCTAAACAGTGATATTACTTAGGCAGTTTTGTGTTTTTCTACCATAGTTGACATTTACTTTTGCTTGGATTCATTTTTGACCCTTCTTTACAATGCCAAACTTCACTAAATTCCTTTGAATTTGCCAACCCTGATGTCACCCGTATTACATTTGGACTATGTTCATCGTACAATTCATTTACCAGTGTATTTATGGGCAATGATTGACACCAATTCTATAACAGAAACTCAATAGTAAATAATTAATTTATAATTAGAAAGCATATATTATTTAAGTCGAATATTTATTTAAATTAGAATAGATTGGATCATTAGTACTATAAATATAATTTCTTCGATAAACCAAACTTTGACAAATAATCAGAAATCAGAAAATCTTTAGTTAATTTTAATGAATATATATTTTATAAAATCAGGAGTTTTCCGTAGGCAACTTAACCAACAACACTAATAGAAAAATTATGGGAGAAAAAAAGACGAGTTGTGTCAAAAAATGGCAGATAATTGTACCAGGAATTTATAAGGTTGTTACGAATTTCTTTTCGTCCAAAGTGGTGGCGCGTCGCATTCGTTCGGTGTCCACTTTTGTTACACCATTGACAGTAACGCACCATTAATGTGGTGATAAGTAGGCACCAATTTTATAATCAAGTAGACACTAACCAATTAGTTATAATGTTCCACGTATATTTTCTTCAGAACTTTGACTAAAAAAAATGTGTACAAGTTTTTAGAAAACTGCCTTACATAATTTGTATGTTTACAATTTTTGAAAAGTACAATAGTGGTATAATGAAGTAATAATATGTACTCCAGTTGCAATTTTACTAACCTACTTGTTAAGCAACAAATAATTCTTATTCAAATAATAAGTTAACAATAAACTTCAAAAATACAATACACCCAGTTTCTAAAGCACTCAGTTTATTTTATGTATAATGAATAAATAAATAAATAAAAAATTTCCTTTGGCAGTACAAAACTAAATCTAAGTTTGTTAATACTGTTGACAACTTTTAAAATCTGACTTACGTTAGCAAATGATAAGAAGAATAACTGGTCATTATTATATTCCTCTAAACCGGGTAATCTGGATTCTTCACCGTTATCACTGACATACTTCCTATAGCCCATCAAAGCTTCTTTTATTCCACCATTATCAGCTATGTTTTCGTCTAGAGTTAATCTGCCATCAACCTAGTTTTGTAGAAACGTTAGTTTTAATTAAACATCTGAAATTATTCAAAAGAACTTTCAAACCTTTACTGAATCAGTCCCAGGAATAGGGAAAGACTCGTAATGCTTAATAAAACATTCCGTTCCCTTTTCATACTCTTCAATTGTTTTATTGGTCCACCAAACGATATCATTACCATCTTCGTCAAACTTTCTGCCAGTATTATCAAAACTATGAGTTATTTCGTGACCCAATATTGAGCCCAAAAAACCATAGTTTAGCACTCTGAACAAAAAATCTAACAATAAAATTCATTTCTATAAGGGTAAAATTTTTAACCATTTATACTTACTGTAAGTCATGACCAAAAAATGGAAAATGTAATATTCCAGCTGGTACAACTGAAATTTTAATATTATGTTTGATCAATTTTACTCTTATAAAGTTTTAATAAAGAATACACTAAATGACATTTAATGATAAAAGTATAATAAAATTGTATGTTTAATTAACATATTTTAATGTAATCCCTCGTATCATTATGAATTATATAAACATTATAAAGCTGAATTGATGCTATGAGATTATGTGTTACAATTAACTTAAATACCATAAACATTTTTTTCCGTAATTCAAACAATTGATCTTAAACAAACTACCAAGAAAAATACTGAAATTTTTGTAACAAATAAAATAAAATTATACAGTTATGATTTGTCAAAAAATCAAAAGATTTCTAAGTCTATTATATATGAAAATGAACATGATAAGATTTTAGCCGACACTCATCATTATAAATAAAACAATTCGGTGTTCATAAAAAAATCATTACTTACTTATAATGTTATATTGTTGTATATTAAAGGCGTTGACATTCAAAGGATCGATTGACCACCTAAAATTTAACATGAATCAGTTTAAAACTTAACCATAGCACAAATGAGTATTTAAAACTTATTTTCAATTTAAGTATTTTGTATTTTTTTTTAAATTTATTGCTTACAGAAAATCTAAGTTATAAATTCTTACTTATTTATTTTTAAATTTTGTGAGAGGAAACTATTATTATATACTTATATTATTATATACTTGTTATATCGCATTAATAGTGCAATATATTAATTTTTTTAATAGAATAAAATTAATGTTACTTTGTTTTTAATAAATAAAGACAAAAATAAATATCGTAATCAAAAAATAATTATTATAATAATAATAATTTTGTGAAATTACTTGGCTGACCCCAAGTAGTTGGGATTGAATCGAGGAAGAAGAAGAAGACAAATTTTGTTATATTAAATAGTAATTTTTTTTTCGGGCTAATCCAACTTAAGCTACTTGATATCATTTGGAAGTTATAAAAAAAAAAAAAAATGAGTAAAATTTTTTTATTATCATATCTAATTGCTTATTTAGTAACTATTAAAAATGAGTTACCTGTACCAGCTATCCATGCTAAGAACTATTTTGTATTTTTAAAAAAAATAATTGATTACATTTCTTTGTGAAGAAAATTATTATTGATAAAAACAGAGAGCTTATTTTAATACTTAGTGTTTTGCTTGTACTCACATGGTGCTCCTATCAAAATCGTTAATTTCTCTTAAGGATTTTAATTCTAACTCCTCGTTATGTTGTATATACTTTATAACATTTTCAAAAAAATCATTTTCTGTTACATTGTACTGAAAAAAAAATTTTTTTTTGCAAAATATTTGCGTTGTTCATATACAATTGAAAATATCGTCGTCAACGTACGTCTATATAGTAGTCATCGAGTAAATCTGGATCTGTTATAAATTCAGGATACCCTATGAGTGTCTTCATCTGGCTAGCTTTATATAATGTTCTTTTTTTTGTTTCTTCGTCCATCCAATCCAGATCATTTACTATTTTTTTGAATGACCATTGAATATTGTCCATCATGTGATTCATCTGGCAAATAAACGAGTTTATTTAAAATTAAATTTTGTTTTTAATATCATACAAAAATAAATGACGTAACTGCGAATTTAAAGTTAAAAGTTTGGCATACCATTTGTATGGAATCATTCGTTGTTTCCCATTCAACTAATAAATGTGAAACGGCCATTCCCATCATTTGATTCACGGCTGAGGAACAATAAAGTGATCTAGAGGGGTTGTTTTCTAGTTGAGTTGTTTCGTATATATATCTATTTTGAATAAATATCATATGATTCGTTGTATACTGAATTAACCCCGAAACTACTTGCCACCATAAACTAAGAACTTCAAATTGAATTATTTGTTTATATTCAAGTAATTATAGTAAAACAATGTTAATGTTTACTTCTTTCCTCTTTAGTTGTAGTCGATAAAAATTCTAATAAATTTTCAAAATATTCTACGTTTTTAAGCTCTATCAAATCAGATGAAAAATCTAACGTTACGTTTTCCACATCTGCGAATAATACTGTGAAGTACTCCCGCCAATTTATCTAAAAAAATACATTGCTAATTTATATCAATATCATTGAGAAAAATCTTGATTGAAAATTAGAAATAATAAATATTTATTTTAATGGATAACTCATTAAAACACATTCTTCACAATCAATATCATAGAAAGTACAATAAACAGTAAATAAAAGGTTTTTCGGACATTTGTTGAATTGTCATAAAATATAATCGTAACGGAATAATATGTATCTCTGCAACATACTTTAATACATAGGTAAAATTTAGGTAAATAACCGACTATTTATCTATCTATTTATCAATCTATTGTTCATTTTCTTTAGACACAAGCTTAAATGTCTAATGTTCATTTTTTTTATTTAATAAGTTCTGATTAAGCATTTAATGATTACCTACATTTTTAGTGTTGTTTGTAAAGTAATTCTGTAATTTGTCGACTGACAAAAGTATTGGCCTGTCTCCATCAGTGTCGTAAACTTTCTCCGTCAACTAAATAATTAACTAAAAAACTACATTTCCCAAAATAAAAATAATTTTTTTTAATTTCATACTTCGGTTAATTGATTGTTAAATTCTAAAATATTGAAAATTTTAGCGCTTAAACGGAAATTGTTAGGTAAAGTTTCGTTGGTAAGTGACTTGTATATCTCTAGCCATACTCCTTTAACATATTTTCCAAATGATTTTATGAAGTCTGCTGCTTCTTTATCGTTTTCCTCGTCTTCACTGTCACTGGTTCCTATATTTTCTTCAGAAGTTAACGTTTCTCTAGTTCGCCTCGAAAGGATTTTTGTGATTTTTTTATCTATTTTATTACTGTAACATTTGATTTAGGAAATATGTTAAAACGCACCAAAATAATTTATTACTTACGCAGGAAACATATCAGTTGTGCTACTGGGTTTGGATAACGTAATCCGATTATAAGTTCGGTTTTTTGAATTTGTTAGCACGCCCGCTTGAAACAGATGACTCACGCCAACATATCTCTTAGCAAGAGCTAATAGCCTCGAAGTACTTGCAGATTCTCTCATTTTTTTATTCATTATTCCTATGCGTGGTAATTCAATTTTATCTAGAATATCGATTAATGGTTTCAGACCCTTCGAGTCCATTTCATCTGAAAATTATTCTTATTATGTGACTGTTAACAGATCAAAATATAAATTAAAATTAATAAACCTGTGGCCATGCAGGAACGGTACAGTAGTCTAGCCTGCGATACTGAATAAGGTTCTGAATCCAAGTCTTCTCTTTCCATATAAGCTATCAGAACGTTAAAATATTTAATTACAAAAACATATGCCAATGAAATGTTATATACCTCTTATCCACTTTAAAATTTCTAAATTTAATTCTGCAAATCTATCATTTGATGTTGACGTTTTAAGTGTTGTTACCTTTTTAGGGTAATTTCCACAAGCAAATTCATAAAAATCATTGCATGGGTCTATAGATCTGTTCATTGATTCCATGAATAAAGAGGCTAAATAAAATGATAATAAAATTTTCGTTTATTTCATAATAAAAAATCTCTTTTCACTGTCAGTCATCGGTTGTTTTATTTACATTAAACGTTAGATTAATTGACTCACCAGCTTTTAAACAGTCTGGTGTAGTACAGACGTTGTATTTGACGTCTTGTGTGGGACATGGTGCGTCTTGCTTTATATCTTAATGAAACATAAACAAAGCCGATTTTTATCATACACTTTTTACTAAAAATAAAAATAGAATGCTCAAAAAGCTATACTTACAGGAATACGATAACCCGATTAGGGCCAAGACTAGTGTGAGTATTAACATTACTACGGCTATGATTATGTAGTTCTGTCTCTGACTTCTTGATCTATTATGGAACCTGAATTAAACATAAAATAGATGAAAATTATTGAAAATCAATTTACTTCCAAAGATTTATATTTGACTTTTTAATAATAATAGAAAAAGAACAATGACTTTATAAAAAGAAGGGACCTTGACACAAAAAAGACAACTATATCTCGAGGCTATGTCGTCGTTTTCCTACAATTTATATATTGTAGCATTGTAGGCCACGGTTCATCGGCCTCCATAAACTATAGCAAAATATTTTATTTCAGATAATATTTTATAATGATCAGCTGTAAATAAAAATGTACTATGATAGTTTTCCACATATTTTTAACGGATATTTAAATTAATACATGTAGAAGTTGATGACTTCAGTGTCACAAAATATTGTAAAATACCAATTTTAAATTATAATTTGGTCCTTCAATTTTTAATCATACAAAAGAGCACTTCATTTTTTTTCATACGTGCATTATGAAAATACCGTTGTTAATTGCCCGTTGTTATTTTAATAATTACTGTGCAAAATTAACTACGGTCACGAATATAATTAATTAGTAAACATTTGAATTATACGCTTACTTTTTAGAATAACCCGATTCTATATCGTTGTCATTGATAGTACCATTTAAATCGTCTTTTTTCAGTCTACTGGTTGGTAAATCTTCATCTTCTCTCTCATCAGCTGTTAAAAATAACTTTAATTTATATTTATCATACATATTTCTTAGTTAATTTTACGCTGAGCAGTTAAATACTAATAATTGTTCTTATGTTTTATTAATGAGTTAGCTGACATATTGCAAGAAAAGATATGATATTGAAATAAAGACAATTTTTTCAGTAAATAGAAGCTTATTGATATTAATTTACATGAGTAATAGTTTGATTAGTAAAATAAAAAAATTATATTATGTATTAATTATTCGTAAATATTTAGTGGAATTATTTAATATGATAAATAACTTTGATTTCTGTTGTAGCCTGAATAAAATAGTTATTAAAATAATCATTGTCAGTTTACATTAATAAGTTTTCACTAAAAACGTTTACTTTAAAGTTTATTGAAGTAATATTCACATCAAAAGACAGATTTGCATTACTTCAAAATCACTTATAAATTGTTTCATTCATTTAACTTAACTCTCTGTATTAAGTAAATGGACGTTTATTTACAATCAGTTATTAATAATACAGTAAAAATATAAAAATGACAAATGCACGGGCTCTTAAAGTCTAGTAATATATCTTTTATTCAATGAAGTAAAAATGTTGTGGGTGTATATATAGTTAAATCACTGCTCATAATTTTTGGTTTGAATTTACGCTTCTTTAAAAGTCTTATATGGGTTCATTGGCATCCGCAGAGGAGGGAAATAGGCAGTTATGTCCTTGACTATTTGTTAGATCAATTTTATTTGGTATTATAAAATTTTTCTAAATAAATTTGTTTTTAATTAAAAGAAAATAATATCATTTATATTAAATTATATTATGAATGCTAAAAATAAGAGAATTATTTTTTTATGGATTAATGATATCAGGGTTTAGTTTTTATTTATTAGATATATAAAGATACTTAATTTTGTAAATAATACATAAAACTACCAAAAAAATATTTTATTTATAATTTATTTTCTGCGAGGCACATATAGGTGTCTATTAGAATAACATTTTTGAGGATGCTAATTATATTTTATCACCACCCTAAAAAATAATAAACATGTATCTGACAAGAAGTACAATTTTTTTCATTTTCAGGGGAGCTAATTCGTTAACTAATCGGACCATCTCTTCATTTTGGTTGCGCCAGTGGTGAAGCCTCAAAAAATAAAAAATGTGTTGTAATTTAATTCAGTTCCGGCAATAAAATTGTAAAAAAAAATTTCTTATTAACTGATGTAATTAATCCCAATCATGTAAATATTTTCTTATTGTAAGTATTTTTAAATTTTACTACAATACTCAATAAATAGTAAAACACTAAAATAATAATATGTTATAGTTGGTGAATGTTACTCTTTAGTAAATTATTATAAGTTGTATTCTTTTTTAAATATAGACGTAGCTACAAAGAAAACTCATCACTTGATAAAAATTAATAAATATGCAAAACTGACAAATGTAAGAAAATATAAAGTTGAAATACATAAAGAAAGATCTCTTTTTTTATCAGTTGAAATTCATAACCTTCTATTATTTTGAGTTTAGCTAAAAATACATAAATCTTTGAACATCAATAACGATGTTTCAATTATATAAGATATATTTAAATGACCTATGTTTTATATTTATTTCATACAAAAATTATCGTTGTATAAAAAGTAATTGAATAAGATCCAGAGATCATATTTATACATTTTGTTTTTAAACTATTATTTGATTGATTTAATCACATTTAAAATAATTGAAATTAATCTTAATGTGACTATAACAATATGTTTAATTTTTTATTGACCGTGTTTGAACTGTAAAAGCAATATTTAAATTAAAAATTTTATTTTATTACAGTTACAATTATCGTTTTTTTGTGTATTTTTAACATTTTTATTGACTCAATAAACTATATGTAGAATAAGAAATGGTGAAAAGTCAGGTAAGGATATCACATTTTAACTACAGCTTGGAAGTTGAAAGCCTAAAAATACTTTAAAAATTACTTCTAAATTTACAAAAATGACTAAAAGAATAAAAAAACCTTTAACTTTTAAAATAATTTAAAAATAATTAAAAGTATTTTTTTTTAGATTTCAAAGAGTTTTTAATATATATGTAACATTAAATACAAAAAAATCAAGCTTTTTTTAGTACCTACTGAAAAATTGAAAAATAATAAGTTTAAGTGCAAAAAATTACCTACAACAAAATGTAATTAAGTTGTTTTTCAAATGTTTTTAATTAACATAAATCAAATTAAATTTATTAAAATAAAACACTATTTATTTGATTTAAAAGTTGTTTAGAAATTTTTTTAAACACTATTAAAAAAACAGAAAAATTTTTTTGATTAAAACAAAAAAAACTTAAAGGCAATAAAAAAAACTGTTTTTGTATTTAAAATGAAAAAAGAAACTGTATTTTTTCTGAACACTGATTAAAACAGTGATTTGTCGATAAACCAGTTTATTATGGTTGATTTTAGTAATTTGCATTCTTCAGATTAAGGAAACGTACAAATTATTGACTGCGCATAGGTATAAATAAAAATAATAATTTTTTCTCCTCGCTTACTTTTTCAAAAAGATAATGCATGTAAAATAAAATTGCTTGCGACTGCTTATAAATCAAACAAATATTCTTATAACTAATCATAGAAATGGGTGTAAATGGAGTCAGTTTAGAGAATATTAGCCCCTCTAGACCTTTTTTTGAAATTGCGCTTATGCTCTTGGACTACGTCAACATTGTTTAAAAATGTAATTGGTTAGTTTATATCAAAATAATATAATTTTTCTATAAAATTATTTATATTCATTATAAAAATTATTTTAAATTCTATTAATTTTTAAATCCAAAAGTGAAATGACAACTCTAGTCGGTAAACAAATCGATTAGACTCACCCATCCTGTTGAGATCTATGGCCTCAATATTTGTAGTTCACGTTGGTCCCTCACCCTTAAAGAATGGTTTATGACTAAAACAATTTCACTGTTTAACTATATTTGTTATAAATCACTTCAAAAAAATAATATTGTCAGACAAGTTTACCGGTACTCACTACCGGCAAGCGTACGAAAGTCACGTGCCAGCGATGGCTCGGCCTTCGAGAGACTGAAACGCTTTGCGCAAATAGTGTGTGTGAAGTCGTGATATTAATGTGGTAGTGTCTAAATGCATATGTGCGTAGCTGTAGTTTTTATTTATACTGATTTGTGCATGCCAGATTTTCGTTTGAACTTGTATATATTTATATTTCGCTCGCTTTTAACGTACTGAACTTTTGATTACATTTCTGCCAAAAAATACGGAAACATATAAGCGTTACAATAATTCTGAATGAGACTAGGACAGCCTCCAACGTTGACCTTACATTGTTCCCCTACTTAGTAGTCATAGCCGTCATAGCTTACAGGCCTATGGTTCACTAAATTTTCGTATCGTATGCACAATAGTTCAGCGAAGGTCAGTGTTTCTGTCATATATTTTATACAACTTACCGTTTAAAAATTCGATATATTGTCCGTAAAAATTGACCGATGGGTAATAGAACAAGTATGTTTAAAATTCTAAAATGCGTTATACTGTTGCTCGGAACCAATACTATATACTTATACATATATAATATATCATAAAACAATTTCGACTTTTTAAAATTTGGGCGTAAAAAAAAAAAAGCGGCTAAAATTTTAACAGTTTCACTTTAAACTGTAATTGTTAACATAAATAATCATATTTCAGTTACGATTACATTGTTATTGTATGGATGCAAATATTTGTTGGTGATAATTTAATAGAACATATAAATTTAAATATTTAATTAAAATTACAGTAATAACATATTAATGTGGCCACGGTAAAACATTGATAAATTCATTACTATACACGTTACTGACGATAACTGATCCGAGTAATTATATTACTTATATAAATTGAACATTATTTTTAAATTGTATCGCATCGTGTTTAGAACACTTCATTTGGTTTTAATATAATTAAAAAAAATTACCAATATAATGAACTACTTAGAGATAAACAGTAAATTTTGCCACTGTAAGTGAAATAATAAGTTTGTTTAAAATATGTATTGAGTAGTAAAGACAAATAATAGAAAATTTTCATTAGTTTTAATTTTAAAAATTATACAAATTACTCCAAATAAATATATATTTTTGTATTATCGTAATTTAAGATTTTTAATAATAATTTTAAAACATTACTATTTCGTGTGATATAAAACGCTTAACTAGTTTTTATTAATTTTTTTTTAGTACTTAAGATTAGTAATGCACTTTTTTTTATTAGGACGTTTTAATATTTCTGCAGTTGTTGATAAACAAGCATTCATGATTACTCATTATTATCGCTTTTACCATATTCATAAATGTTTATTAATTAACGCAACCACATGAGTCGTCATACACAGTTTAAATAATGATTTCATTAGTATCAGTTAAATAATTTCGTACTCTTAGTAACTACTTATATTTTCTTCATTAGTTTATTTCAGACAAGAATTGACTGGAAATTATCTTCAAAAATTCACTATAACAGTTAATAAACAGCTGTAGTACACTTTTTAGAGGCAGTCGATGTAAATTTAATTAAATACATTCTCAAAGAAATTATGTTTAGTGTTCCCATTACGATATACTTGAAGCAAATGTCTCAATTTCCACATACTAATTTCATCTTTGACTTTTATGTAGACATAATAAATATCAATACAATTGAACAAATAAAATTTGAAATTAATTATTTTATAAACCACAATATAATTCAATCTTGAATTCATTAAAAAATCAATTGAAATAATTTAGTTCAAACCCGAATTAAATATTGAAAATAAAATAAAATAAAATATTGATAAATTAAAAGGTATAAAACTCCAAATCTTAATTTTAAACTAAATATTTTTAGTTTTTGTAGTTTATAGGTTCTAAGGAAAGGTATACAGCTTGTCAATATAAAACTATTATATTATATAACAGGTAAAAATAATATTCTAAAAGTACTTTATTCGTTTTTGAATAATTAATGTTTTAATATGTTTTATATGTATACTCGTTTGTTAATTGTATTGGAAACAGAAGTATAGGGGGCAATGTAGTAAAAAATATGGTTAGTAACCGATTAATGTAAAGCTTATTTTGAATACATTATATTAACAGTATTATTGGTATATTCAAAATACAATAACTATATATTAACACTGAGTAAAATTTACATCATTTGAAATTAGTTTTTGAGTAAATATATTTACAATTTTAACGTAAATAATAAAAAGCCTAAACTTAATTAAATTAGTACTTAATTACAGATAGTTTTATGTTAAGTTTTTTTTTTTTTTTTTTTACAAACTACCAAATGGCTTTATTATTTAAACGATAAAATTATCTTTATAAATATATTTTACAATAATTGTATATGAAACATAGTTTTATAACAATTAATAAAGAATAATTTATGTTAAGTATATAAAAAAAATTTACTTAAATTATAATTTAAAACATTTAGTTGTATAAAATGTGTACTATAACAATAATATTTATTAAAACATATTTGTATTATAATGCGCTTTTTAGAAATTATAAATATTTCTTAAATATATAATTTATAAATAAAGACATTATGATAACATATTCATGAGAAATTATTATTTCTAAGATAAATAGAATTCAAATATATAAATGAAAATTGTTAAGCTCTATGGTTTAATTTTATTAATCATATAGCTTACCACAATAAATAAATTAGAAAATAAACATAATTTTAATTTTTGAGAATTGAATTGAATTGAAAATCTTACCTTATTCTTTAAATCAGCGAGGAATGTTACCTCATGACGACAAAATCACAAATACTTTTCGGTTTTATTACCTAATTAATATAACTAAAGTGGTTAAAAAACAATAGAAAACTAAAAACCTTGTTTATCAGTTGTTAAATGACTCAGGTTGAACATATAACCTTACTATAAATAAACTAATGCTATTACTATTGAGCTTTGTATCTATGGCGAATGAAAAATAACAATTATTTTCAAGGTGAGTTGTATCTTTTTCCCATTAATTAAAAATAATTGCATAAGTAAAAAAAGCAGGTGTGATTTTTTATACAAGAGATACTTACAAAATTAGTTTTACGATACCCTAGCAATCCATATTATTGTGAATAGAACGATATTTAGTTGCATTAGTTATAAAAAAAAAATTAATTATAATTTATTTAATAGGAAATTACCGATTTTTTCAAAGATATTTAGTAATATTGGATATTTGCCACTTAAGTGGTATTTTATTAATATTTTTTATAAAATACAATAAGCAAAAAATAATTTGATAAATAATATAGTCATTTATTAATTAATTAATTTGATGGAATAATGTTTATTGAATAATTATAATAAGTTAAATTATTAGACATTATTTTTAATACACATATAAGTTTTATAATATTTTATATGGTGATATGACATTTTTACAATCAAATTTTAAGGTAAAGTAACTTAGAAGTGTAAATGAATCAAATTTAGTATTTGAGTTATCAGTATCGTGGTATTATTCCATTATTATTTTTGCGAAGAACCTTTAATATATTCGTATTCTATAATACTTAACAAGTTAATCATTTTCTTAGATAAACATCCATGTAATTTTTCTTGCGTTGACTAAAATTGGGAAGATTTGTGATGTTGTTGAGACGAAATCAATGAACCACTGAACATACATTCAATGTAAAACTTACAATAACGTAGTTTTTTTATTCCTATAGTACCACATTAACATCAAATAATGATTATTCAAAATACAAATACATATAAATGCGTCTTTGTTTTAATATATGGAATAGTATAGATGTAATATTATTCCTATAATTATTTATCATTAAAATATTGTACACTGTAAAATTTTTAATTATTAACAAGAATAAATAGTTTGTAAATGCATGTTTAAGTATAAAATAAATTAGATCAATTACGAGCCTTTCAATATGAAATGTTTATTTTAAAATAAATACATAATTGTTATAAAAATATACTTTTAGTTTTTTACGCAAATAAAATTTCTTTATGACGTCTTATTTTTTCTTTTTAGTTAAATCTAAATTTAACTCTCAGAGAGTTTAAAAATATTTAATTGTTATAAGTCTGAAAAGGGTTTGGTTAGTTTTAATATTAGGTATACATATTATTTTCCTTTTTAAAAAATAAACGAATTTCTAGTTTTTCGCACATATGTCATTGAGAAATCGAAATAAATACGATTTAATTTTAATTTTTTTTTAATTGCATAAATTGAAGTTATAAAATAAAGTTCACCACATTTGGATTTAGTGAGAGTACTAAACTATAGCAGCATAAGCGACAATCGTTTGGAAAACAGCAACAAGTCAAAACAATAGGTCTAACAATTTAAGAATTCAATTGGAGGGTCATCTGAACAAAACTTTTTTTCTTATAACCCCTCTAGACAAATTTTAAATCCACCTCTGATTAAGTTTAACTTAATCTGTTTATTAAACAAACCTTACTCGCGTAATAAGTTGTTTGAGAATCTTTAACTTTGAAGTTATAGATAATCTCAATAAGTTTTGAAAAAATATCACAATTTTTGAATTAATAAACACCGAGTTTTATCAGTTTTATGATCAATGAAACAATAAAAAATGAACAGAATCGAACGTTGAAGTCACTGACATAAATAATGTAAAAAAGGTGGAAAGATTATTGATAGTTCAAAAATGTCTACAACTTAGCAGTCACTTATTTCTAAGTTTCTAATTTTTGTCAGATTAGTTGAACAATAATGATTTGTGTTTATTTTTCAGTAATGGAATGTTTTGGAAATAATTTTTTTCACTTTTTATTTATTTCTATCATTTAATTAAAAAAATATTTTCACCTCAAAGTGTTAAAACAAAAAAATATATAGAATATATTTTTATTATGAATTTATTGAGTAGGTAGATGTTAAATAGAGTAATATAAAGCTAATAGTAACATAATAAATAGAAAACAAATATTGTAATAATGATTTAATTCTCAATAAGAATATTTTTAAACAAAACTTGCCGTCATAAAACAATAAATTATTAAAAATATATAGCTCGTCCTCTATATGTTTTGGGCAATAATTCTACGGTATTTTAACATTAAAAATATATGAATTCAATGTGTTACAACGTAAATATAGTATGGCATATCTCTTATTAAAAATTATAAGGAACCAGGAAAAAACTTATAGTAAACAACGCTCCTCTGTTAATGTTCTGTACCAACTGACGTTGTGCAAGGGGAGAGGTATTCGTGTCGACCTATGATGACATAACTTATGTATAGTATTTGAAAAATGCTGATGCGAAGAAGTATCATACGCGCGATGATAGTAAAATCTGCTCTATTGATCGATTTTTCCATGTGGCCTAAAAGATGGACTAAAAATATTCAGGATTAATATTCGAGATGATTTTGTAATTGAATCAGCTTTTGAATCGGTTTTTGATAGCAAAACCACTTTGTACTTAAATAGCTACAAAAAAATTAATTTATAACTTTTATATAAGCTTTAACTACACCCAGAGGAAAACCTCGATCTATATAATAAATTCATTGTTCAATTTGATAAATATATCATTACTATTGAATCTATGATATATTTATCAATATGATAATTTTTTTTCTTGTCTTGAACAATAATTATTTAAAAGAATAGTTATTTTGTTCGTATTAATAAAATATTATCATAAACCCTTGATAAAATTTCTCTATCGAAATTGATTGAGGTTTTTCTTTGGGTGTATAAACTTTAAAGTGTTTTCTATGTCCTACTCTTCACCATTTTTTTAAAATTAATTCAACTGATAAGTTAGTAATTATTAAAATACATTTAATGACATTGCTTCTTCATTTCTTCTAAGGTGAATAATATTGATTGAATAACAACTATTTTTATACATCCGACAATTAATCCTTTAGAATCCTTTAACTCGTGCTTTAACATCCAACAGCCAAAAGGTAACGACGGACGTGTTGTACTTAATAGTTCTTTTCTAATTATTTGTCGAACTCCCTATTAAAACAAGTTTAATGATTGAAATACTATAGCAAAAATTAAGAGTTTCCATTTTTATTTTCGACAGTGCTATTTAGCAAATACTTATTATTTTACGAAATTGGTATTATGAATTAGAATTACACACAATTTATTTTTCAAAAATCGTTTTTAAGCTTTTTTTTAATAGAACGTCTTATTATTGTTTTACAAAATTGCATAGAATGAATTAAGGTAATTGTAAACGAGTGGAGTAGTTTTATAAGCGTTTTTTTCTATAAATCTACAAATTTTTATTTCAAACTTACATCTAATATGATAGCAATATAACATATAAGAAACAGATATTTTTAATTTAAAATAAAATCTTCAAAATATTTTAAGAATAACAATGTATTCAAAATTACCCCATTCATTTATATTTGTCTCACTTCATTTTAACTTACAAAAACGCAGGGTGAGTATGCGAGTAACTTTCTTTACTATCGATTATGGTGATTTTTTATCATTAATCTACTTTGAAATTTTCAAAACATAGTATAAATATCATTATATTTAAAAATTGTGATTTTCAAATTATGCAATAATTTATTAAATGGTAAAGTTATACAATACTATTTAATGGTTATATAGCTTTTAAATTATTAAAAGCGTTTAAAAACCAAGCCCATTCATTTCAATTTTTTCAAATCTTTTTCTTTCGAATAATTTTATAAGCTTGGTTGGATTAAAAAAGTGAATATATTTGAAAGAAAGCAAGAAAAAAACATGAAATTAAATGAAGTGGCTTCCGAGCTCTTCTTTTATTGTTAGTAACTATAGATTATTTAATTATACTACATTATGTCATTTATTTAAATAACATTTAGCGTACAAAATTAGAAAGTTAATATTACTAATAGCTTATGAAACTAACTTTTCTTACAGGACATTCTTTAGGTATATCTACGAATTCTCTTATTAGTGGAATAACAGTTAAATCATTTTTCAGGAAAAAACAAGAGCTTATAATTTTTCCTGAAAACACAGGCTCTACCTTCCATCCAATATTTTTTGTGAGAACAGTGTTTTGAGACTGAAAATAAAATTTTATAAATAAATCAATTTTATATGATCGATTGTACATTTTCTTCCAAATAAAAATTATTTTCCTACTGTTAAATTTAAACTAGGTGTTATATCTTGAAGAACCGTAAATTTATTGTTTTCTTTGTCATCCGAAAAATTATAATATGCATTTATAAATTTATATTGTTTATTTTTTATGCAGTTTGATACCTCCATTAAATGTACTACGAACGTAGGCTTAAAAAAGTATTTTAATCAATTTTTCACTTAAAATTAATACTTTGAAATACAAATTATTCTTAATAACGCTGTAAGATTTATACTTACCAAAGCTTTATTTGCTAAATTATGAAATGGTAAAAAAAATATTAGTATTATTTTCTTTGTGAAAATGTTCATTGTTATGCATTTATTTGACAAAATTTACCTATTCAACAGTTGATACATATAAATAAATGAAAACTAAACAAATATTCAATTCTCTATTTAATGTTGTTAGATTTAGTTAAATCATTCTGTAATATGTCCTTCAAAATGATAATAACAGAAAGATAACACAATTACAAAAAAAAATGTTTAAAATAATTTATAATAAATAGCTATATGCTACTGTTATATTATACTTTGAGTTCCATTGAACTTTATATCCATTTATTTGTATAATCTCCTGTCATGATAAAAAATTAAAAAAATAGAAAACGTATTCGGAATAGACCTTCTTTCTTTAATTATCATAAACAGTAAAAATTTTACACATAAAAAGGAAAATTTTAATTTTTGGTTGAAATTGCCGTATTTTTATTTTTATTATTTTATCAAGTATAATTGGTTAAAATTATCCTAGATTTTGATATAATCAAGAAAATGTTCGTATGATATGTTAAAATATTCATCATTATATTAATATATCAATATAAAATATCAAAACAAATTATACAGTACAACTTTTCATCGATAGTTACAGTTCCGAAGTTGTAATTATTGTTAGTAAATGTTTGAAATAAAAAAAGTACGTTTTTATGAATAAAAACACAAAATTTATAGAAAAAATATGTAATTTTTTTATTTTTAAATAAATATGTATTTACAACTTACATTTAAATTTAATAAAATAAAATTATAACATAAAACACATTTTTTTTTTAATAATAACAATTTTAATTTTAAAATAATGTTCTTAAATTTCAACTGTAGATAAGTCATTATATTATAACAATAATTTCCAAAATGCTTAGAAATAATAATTATAAGGCATTTACATAAAAATCAAAGTATTTTTATGTGTATACTTTTTTATTTGAGAAATTACCATAGCTGACATTTCTCTATTTCAGGATTCATTTTAGAACCAACTGGACAAGACCAAACCTTTGCAAAGTCTGGCATTAAAGATAAAATATTTCGAACTCTGACTGTATTAGGGCTATGCTCGTTTGTCATCATATCTTCGGGATTCTTATAATTATAGTGACAATATTGCTAGAAAATTCAAAGTAAATATTATTGATATTAATTTTAGTATATAATATTAAAATCAATTACCAAAGTTATTTTTAAATATGTCACTTGAAATACTATAATAGTACAATAAAAATAATAAAATACTATTTAAAAGGTAGACATTTTACTATTTTGTTTAAATTGTAAAAGTTAAAAACCATTCTAGACTTTTACCTCTAAAAGTAATATAAGCTGGTGATATTAAAAAATGATTATATTCATTCTAATCACTTAAAAAATATAAAATAAGTTTAGCTTTCAATTAATTATTCTAAATTCTTGTTCACCTATTATTTTAATTTTTAGATGTTTTATTCAATTTGTAACTAGGTAAGTCATCTAGTCTGGCTTGACACCAAAGCACTTAATATTCTTTGTTGCAAAAATTAAAAAAAACTAGAGCCTTGTTATATTTTACGCCTGGATGATATAGCTCCCTTTGCGCCCCCTTTATCATAACTTGATTATTTTAAAAAATTATATAAAAAACAAAAAAAGTTTTGTATTTGTATAAGTTATATTATTTTATGAGTTGATAGGAAGTTAATATAAATGTCGATTATTTATTATTACAATTGTAGATTAGTTATTACTATTAGGTAAGTTATAAGTTATTATTTTTCATTTTATATTTTCGAGCTCATTATTATGAATATTATAAAAAAATCATTTTACACGCGGAATTATTTTTACTAGCTTTGCCAAAATGTATTTGTTTTTAAAATTTAGATTTTTAATTATAGTTTTTATAAATTACTTAATCGTTTTGATTGCATTTCTAACCTCTGAACTGTTATTCATTATTTTTAAAATAATTCATTTAAGTTTGAAATATTTTTACATACACTGGCATAGCCTATGAAAAATAGTTGTTCATTAGTGTATTTTTCTAGTCCAGGTAGTCTAGGTTCCTTTCCTTCCGCTTTTACGTATCGCTGATAAGCAAAGTATGCCTGCTTTAATCCCAGAATATCAGCTATATTTTCATCCAGTGTTAGGACACCATCTAATTCAAACTGTAAAAATAATCTCATTTTAATTATACAAACATTGCATATAAAAAAATTAACAAAACACCACAAAGAGCACTTGAAAAAATACTAAAAAAATATTTTTTAAAGCGTTTCTTTGCGTGATTGGGTTAATTTTGTTTATTTTTAATTAATTAGCCACAAGTAATTAATTATACTTTTTTGGGGTTCAACTTAATTAGTTAATTTTCAATGACAACATTTTTATTTGAGATATATCAGGTTTTATATTATGTTTACCGTTTCATTCTTTATTTTTATTTTAATACCATCAAAATAATCGACCATACATTGAATTTTTTTTCCGTACTCTAAAATAGTTTTATTGGTCCACCATTGAATCACATTTCCCAACTCATTGTAAAGTATACCTGTATTGTCAAAATTATGGCTCAATTCGTGTCCTATTGTACTTCCCGTAGCACCATAATTCAATGACCTATAGGAAAATTATTATTGTCGTGTAATCATAGTTATTTTTATGAACTGTAGTTTATACTTTTTTAATAAAAATTGGAACATCAAAATGTTTTTTTTAAATTTATGTATAGGTGCTAAAAGTAAAAATTTGCTAACCTAAGATTTAGATAGGTTTTTTTAATGGTGTAGTTCAAATTGTATGTTGTTAAACGCATCTAAATGCATTAGTGTTTCTTTTTGCCATGAAAAAAATTATAAAAAATTTCACAATATAAAGTCAATGATACCTTATTAGAAACAGTTGGTAAAATTTAAGACTTAGGGATTTTCCTATCGTCTTATCTAATTTTTTTAATTTTTATTAATATATATATAATAAAAGTTTACGCATGTAGTGTTTTTTTAAACGTATTAATAAAGAATTTAACTATTTATTTTGCTTAAAAGTCGCTTATTGCACTTTGTTTAGATTGACTCTAGAATACTATATTATTAAACCCTAAATAAGTAGGTTTAATCAACAAAATTGAGAAAGTGCAGCATCAATTTTTGTATTATTATGTTTATAAAAAAAAAAACCCAGCACAGGGGGGTCGCGGCATAGTGGTGACGTGGCATAGTTAGATCAAGTATTATGATATCTGACAGTGATTAAAATCACTATCAAAAAAAACGCTTCGATGCAAATCTTTAGATAGTGTTTAATTTTAAAAAATTGATGGATTATTCTAAAAGAAACATGATCTGCTAGTTCGTTATTAATATCCTGATTCAGATAAAGTATGTCGAATGAAAAAGGGATTATTAAAAAATATTATTTCTCATAAAAAAATTATGTTGATCCATACACTTTTCAATAAGTTATAGCATTATAAAGTTAAAAATAAAATCGAGAATTTTTACACAAAAATAGCATTCGGTAGCCATTTTCACCATGAAGATAAAATAAAGTCCGAAATTTTTTTTTTTTCATGATAAAGTATATTACATTAGCTTTAATTTAAGATATATATAAAAGTGTCAGACTTTCCGGAACATTTTCAAAAGTCAAGTTGAAAAAATAATTTTTTTGTGAAAAAGTTGTTATTTTAAATCCCCCCTGTGGGCAGGTCTAGGTCAGATTTATAAAAAATATATACCAAATAAAAGGTAATGATATCGTGCATCTATATAAAAAAAAATTATATTGATTTGGTTATTTTTAAAAAAGTTATAGCAATTTTAATTTAAAAAAATTGAAAAAATTTCGAAAATTAGCGATTTTTAAGTTTGTAATTTTTTTGGAGGTTTCCCCCATTTACGGGGAACGAGGGAAAATTTTTTGAAGGTTTTCGTCGACTAGATACGATTTGTGATCTTTTGACGTATTATTGAAAGAAATCGGTTCGGTGAGAGCTGAGAAAAAGTGATAACAGACACACAAAAAAAAAAAACACGTCTTAGTAAAACCAATACCTTCTCAGCTTCGCATCGAAGCTAAAATAAAAATTTTAATAATGTTGATGATATGACGACTTTATTAGGTTTTAGTTCCTTAAAAACTAAACTACTATGTTTTTATTTAATTTTTTATTAATAAATTATTAAATGGAAGTATTGATTGCCCAGAGTTATTTAAAAAAATATGATTTTAAATTCCTTCGTTAAACTATATGATATAGTTCCCATAGCAATTTTTAATTAATAGTCCAATGCATTGGATCTAATAGCTTGTTATTTTATTTCATTCATGTACTCTATTCTCGTCTTTAGATTACTTTAATGACTTATAATGTTCATAAGTCGATATCAACTAATATGTAATTTATTTGTTTATTTGATTTTACTCAGTTTTCGTAATCATAAATATGATTGTATAGAAATACTTTTATTTTAATTTTTTCTAAATTTTACTTATTTAAAAATTAACAAAAATGAAATAAAATATTATATGAATTATACTCACTGCACACCGTTAAAATACATGGGATTTTGCAAAATTGCAGCGGATAAAACTATAAATTCAATAAGTATTTCTATTATCATAACACTAAACAAAATTATCATTAAACAACTTACAAAATGCAACTCTAGAGTTAAGATTATATGCATTTACTTCATCTGGTGATACCTCCCACCTTAAATTTCAAAGATATATTAATTATAGTGATTATAATTCAAAAATTGTAATGAATTAGTCTAAAAATAATACACGCTTACTCCAATTCATCAACATCCGTCGATTGCACTAATTTCGTCCATAGCAATTTAACTCTTTGTTTAATTATATTCAAAATATTTTTTGTATGATCATCTGTTACATTTAACTATTAAAAGTGATAAATTTTCAAGATATAAATAATAAAATACTGTGTAATTATTTGAAATATTATTTTACTTCTCCGTATAATTTATCAAGCATGTTCTCATAATTGTCTGGGTATCCAACAAAACTCCTAACTCTTACCAGTTTTTCCAAAGTAGCGATCTTCGATTCTTCATCCATCCATTTGCTATTCATTATCATGTCACGGAATGACATTATAATATTGTCAATCATAGTGTTAACCTGTTAAAAATAAAATTAAAATTTAGTAAGAAATCTAAAATTTAATTACATAAATATAAATATACTTGCTGCAATTTTATTATCGTCGTTTAATGTATATTTTAATGCATATCCAGTTACCATACTAAAGAATTCTTTTGTATTTAGTATACAATACCTGTACATAAATGAGAAAAATTCAAATTTTCACTATTATTAATTAAAACAAAAATTTTACTTCTCATTTTGTAGTTCATTTGGTAAAATATTATTCATAACTTTCAATCCATTCTGTAAAAGTGACATTTCTAAAAACAAATTAATTATAAACAAACTATGTAAATTTGACAATAAACTCATAAATGTTGTTTACTAATTAAAACTTTTGAAGTGTTGGATAAAATTGAAAATACATCAGCTATGTAATCTGCATTATAAACTAAAATTTTTAAGTCAGCAGAAGTTACTATTTTATATACTTCAGGTTCTGTATCCATAAATATTTCGCTTAAAAATGTTGTCCAGTTAAACTAAAAATAATAATATTTATAAAATACTAAATTTATATTTAATTATTTTTAATTACCTTAAAATTTTTCCCATGTCTATCAGTGAAGTTTTGAAGTTTTTCAATGGTAAATAATTCAGGAATAGATGATTTATTTGGATATTGATATTCTTGAATCTTTAATAAAATTAATTGTAAAATTTGTAGATAGTTCGAATGACTAAATTATTTTACATAATTAAAAACATACGATAGTAAGGTTTTTCGTGAAATTTCTGAATTCTTGTGATGTATTCAACAAATCATGAACTTTTGGAACAGAAATTTTCTGAGTTTGATTTAGCAACACATCAACCAGCGATTCGTACACATTTGTAAATCGCAATACATCTTCTGATACATTATCACCTGTCACGACATTGAATCTAAAAGACATTTTTGAATAAATATTAAAAAAATACCTTATCGTCTACAAAAAAATGAATACCTATTCTTGGAATCGGGAATCACATTTGGTTGATGAACAATAAGAAGAGTTTTTGAAGAATTTCTAGGGTCATCGTATACATTAAGACCAAAAAATACATCCACGTCCAAATTATTTTTTATTTTTGCTAAATAATTTTCTGCGTTTATAGGAACAGAATCTGCCAAATAATTTGTGTCAAATCCTATATCTTTCCATACAGTTGCTATCGCATCTATTGTTTTATTTACATTGTCCCTTTCTATAAAAAAAAAACTATTGTAAGTATTAAGATTATTCTTTGATTACTTTTAACCATACCTACGTATGCTTTCAAGCAAGATTTATAAAACATTCTAGTTTTATAAATAGATTCTGGTTCGCTATCATCGTTTTCCTTTTCGAGAAATCCTTTTAAGAAAAACTATTATATATTGACTTTAAAAAATGTCAAAAATTTTACACTCACTCTTGATAATGGCCAACGTTTTTTGAGTTATTATTGTATCCCAACTGTTTTCTTGAGATGTAACGAAAGAAAGATAATTTTCTTCAAAATTACCACAAGTGAATTGATAAAAATCTTCACATGGATCTGTATTATCATCCATACTATCAAGTATATTCATAGCTATCAAATGTTCATTGTAATAATATAATTTGTTATAATAATATTAATATAAATATAAATTGTATAATTTTTAATTTATATAGATTTCAGAAACATATTAACTTTTATCATTTATTTGATGTTAAAGTAAGATTTTATTATCATGAATTCTATTTTTGAATAATTATATTTCAACTTACATGATTTTATACAAGATTTGGTTGTACATACTGTAGGATAATTAGTCAAACCTAACAAAAATATATACCATTGAGTGATACATTACTTTTTCACAGAAAAATGATTTATTTAATAACCACTTACGGTTATAATATATGCAAATGGCAAACATAAATAAGACAAAAACTGCTGCAGTTGTAAAGCCTATGACAACAAGTCTTTTGCCAATCCTCTTTTTTAAAATAACACTAAACAAAACAAAAATTAGTAGACTTTCTAAGAAGTTTTTAATCAGAACAACCTTATAAAAATAATTTGTCTATAGAAAAATACATAAGAGAAATATTTTTCCAGTTCTTAATATGTAATATTGGATTAATCATTTGCAGTGTAAACACTAGATTTGGAGAAAGCGTATGATAGAGTACCGAGAGAAATTTTAAAGTGGGCATTAATGAGAAAAGGAGTTCCGAAAAGATACATTAATATAATAGAACATATGTAGGTGAAATGAGGATATCAGTGACAATAGGCGAAGACGTGATTGGAGAGGTGCAAAGTTTGAAGTATTTAGGGTCAGTTGTGGAAAAGAGAGGTGGTATTGACTAGGATGTAAGACACAGAATTAAGTGCGGGTGGTTGAAGTGAAGAGAATCGTTTTATGCGATAAGAGAATTCCAATGAGGCTGAAAGGTAAATTCTACAAAACTGTAGTGAGGCCAGCTATGGTGTATGGTTCAGAGTGTTGGGCAGTTGATAAGAAAGTAGAGCAGAGAATGAGTGTAGCAGAGAATGAGTGTAGCAGAGATGAGAATGCATAGATGGATGAGTGGAGTGACTAAAAAAGATAGAATAAGGAACGAGCATATAAGAGGGAGTTTAGGTGTAGCGTCAATCGTGGATAAGATGAGAACAAATAAACTTAGATGGTTTGGTCATGTTATGAGGAGAGGAAAATCAGAAGCTGTAAGAACAGTTATAGAAATGAATGCTGAAGGACGAAGAGGTAGGGAAGACCAAAAAAGAGATGGAAGGATGCTATTGAATGCGATATGAGGACAGCTGATGTGAACGTAGATGATGTGGGAGAACGTGTCAAGTGAAAGTTTGGGATATGGGTGGTTGACTCCAAGTAGTTGGGATTAAGGCGAAAAGAAGAAGAAGATTTGCAGTGTAGACTCTATACATTATATGCCAAATAATGCCACTAAATTAATAATTTAGATATATTTAATATTTCTGTTTTAATAATCAAAAATGTTGTCATGAATCATTGTTATTATTCTGGTAATTTTTAAGTTTAATAAAACAATATTTTGTTTTAATATTTAAGACAAATGTAAGAATAATAATATATAGTTAAGTAATTATTGGCTTTACCATCATAATAAAACATTTATAAAAAGATGGAAAAATTGCTTAAGATTTAAATTTAATACTAATTAAAATAAATTATAAAATAATAAAAGTTATATCTATTTATTTTTACAAAATCAGAGAATACTTATCAAGTGTTTCAGTAGTAATTATAACATTATGAGCACGAGTATACTTTCCAATGTCGAGATTCTACAGTTATAAATAAACAAATAATATTGTTTAACAATCGAGTAGAACAATAAAAAAAAAAAAATGCTATGAAAAATTGTCCTTGATGTTCTCGTTGTATAAAATGTATGTCAAGTTATTCAATAATAATTATAATAAGAGTAATAATACCACACAATCAAATATTTTATTCAATTTTAAATTATATCATCACATATTTTTTTGTCTCTCGTTAAATAAATTTTATAATACACCATTTTTTCCTAATAAACTAATTGCTGTAATTTTTAAAACAAATTTTTTAATACTAGTCACTTTTCTCTGTTAGCTTGGTATTTTGTTAACAATATAAAATTCGAATTTTTAACAATGTAATAAAACACTAAAACGATAACCGAATTTTCTGTATTACTAATTCATATACCCCCAACATTCTACAAAAAATGCCATTTGATATATCTCTAATATATGTGTCTGATATGTTTTATATTAATAGTGATATTTCTATTTAATAAGCCAAAGACTGAAGCTAATTTATTTTTTGTATTATTTTGGTTTTAGTTTTTAAACGATTTGTTCTGTTTAGGAGTTTTAAAATTCAAAATTAAAAAATTATCTATTACAATTTGATTTCATTTACCAATTTTTGAAAATGATTAGTTTTTGTTGGTAGTTCTTATAAAACCAGTAAGAATTTTTAGACTTGTTAATTAAATTAACCTAATATTGATAATCAGACTTTTTTTTATTTTAACTTGTATGAAGCATTATTTTTTATTTAATCTCTCATTATATCGAAGTCGGAATTCTTTGATTTATCGCAGTTTGAATGTTAGAATTATATTTTTTTAATTTACTTTGTAGTTTCAGTTTGAAATTTTAAAGTGATGAGTCTAATAGGTTTGCCATAACCCTACTATAAATAAAAAACAATTACTAAAAAATTATACACATTATTTAAATTGCTTTACCATAATACTTTTATAAAATTTTTGCAAAGAAAAAAATACCCAGCACAGGGGGGTCGCGGCACAGTGGTGACGTGACATAGTTGGATCAAGTATAATGATATCTGATAGTGATTAAAATCACTATNTAGATAAATAAAAAAGGGAGGTATTTCCCTTTAAAATATTTTAATAATTTTAATTGGAGATAATTTTTTTAATTTTAATTATATAACAATTTAGAATAATAATTAGTTGAAAATGAGAAATAAATAAAAATGTATTCTCTATTAATAAGCAATTATTCATTTTATTTTATTATCAAATTTTTGATATGTCAATATTTATTTCATATATCTAAGTGTCATCTGAATATTTTAATAAGACTTTCTTAACTTTGTTTCTACAAAATCATATAACTTATCGATAATTTTACAAATATATTTTTTTAATTCAATTTGATCCTTACATTTTATAATTAATTTTTTTTTTAATAATGTTTTTGTTATACTTACTCGCCATTTTGCGATATTGAAAATGAATGAATCCCTTTTCTTTCCATCGATTCTCGATATTCTATAAATATAAATTAAATAAAATTATTGAGAAATGTCGTTATAAATTATACTACTTTGTCAACCTACTATTTTCCATTAAAAAATATTGTTGACCAAGATATTTTTCAAATCTAAAACGTTTTGTTATTTTAAAGCATCATTTTTTTGTTAGCTGTATTTATACATACATTTTTAATTTAAAAAGCCTTTTGGGTCTAATAAACCAAAAAAAATCTACTTGGACAGGATTAATGGTTTTGTAGTTGACCTAAAACATTAAAATGTTATCACTCTTTATTAATAAAATAATATAATTATAAAATGGGCAATTAATAATTTAGCGACTCGATATTATTTTGTATTTTTATTACAAAGGAGTCGATGAAGTTACCGTCAATGAACATTGTACAATAATAACAGGTAAAGGTAAAATATTGCAATACTTATCTACAAACAGTTAATGGAGGGAATAGTCCCCCCTTTGAGATATATTATACGTTATTGTACAATGGACATAAGTCTAACAATATGTGCCACCATTGAACAATTTTTTTTGAAAAGATTTGGATACGATTGTCAAACTTCTAGTGACAATACTTTTTATAAAATATTAAAAGTTACAAACAAAAACTTTAATATTCTGTAGAAGAATTAGCCAATTTTTTATTACAATAAACATACCAGCTTATTGGTTAAAAAATCATACGACTTTTAGAAAATTTAAATTACGAATATTAAAAAACAACTTATATATATATATATATATATATATTTGTTACTTGTTGACTTAAAATAAAACAATAAGAGATAACTCATTAATACTCTACAAGTTTTAACTATTCCTAGAATTTCAATGTTTATTTATCATAAAAATGTAACCATGTCATTTTAGTTTTTTTCAAAATGGCAATAGAGATAAAATTAAATATGTACTTATATTATCACTTCTGACAAACATAGAATTCCTAAATACGAAAAACATACAACATTTATTTAAATATATGCACGCAAAAAAATTAATATTTATAAAGCAAGCATTCGCAAGTACAATGAATGGGAAATAAATGTATTATTTAATAAGTTCTATATTTATATAAATAAAATGATTTTATTATCTATTTTATCAAATTAAAAATCAACGAATGACTATATGATGTAAGTGTTTCAATTACTTTATTACTCATTTTATCTATGAGGCTAATTAATCTACGCAACTCAATAAATTTGTATCACTTAAAAGTTATTGACTACAAACTAATGAGAAATTAAATCTTTACATTGCAACAAGATAAATTATTGAACCATTACTTATTTTACATTATTTTACTTATTTTACATTATTTTACTTATTTTAATTATTTTACATTTATACAACAAAAAATTTCTTTTGTCAATTAGTTTAATCTCGGCATTCAATCGGACCAAATTACATTAAACTACTTCTTTAAATAACAAAATAACTACTGTAATTAGAACTCTCATAGAATAAATAAGAATTATCTAGCTGTTAATTAAAAAAAAAATTATGAAAAGTGAAAACAAAACTTGTTATTCTTAATCAAATTACCAATTTTATCTATTTACTAAACATTTTGGTGAAAATAATTTATAATTATAAATATTTTTTCTTTTGACCTTGAAGTACGCATTATTGTAAGGGTCATACAATGAAGGAAGGTTATGAGCTATTATGTTTAGAAGTTTAAAAGTGTCTCTTTTAGATCAAATAAGGTCTCATGCGGTTTTTTAGTGATTAACAGTGCGTTGTTAGAAACTGAATTTAGAAAAGATCTTTAGATACTTTTTAAAGTTACATAAGGTTTTTGTTTAAATTAATTAAATATAATATTTCCTTGATATACCTTCGAAAAAAAATTAATTTAATTAAATCTATTAATAGTATTAGTATAAAACATAAAAACTTACTAACTTATATATTATATTGTATTGTTTTTTGTAGCACAATTTTTATTAGTATATATGATAGTTAATACAAATTATTTACATATATACTCAACAGAGAATGTTATTGAAACTATTATGTTAAATATAATAACAATTTTAAATTGGTGACAGTCAAATGAAAAAAAATTAAATGGTTTATTCTGCAGAAAGATTAAATCAGTCATTAACCTGTTTTTGATAAGTAAATAATGCGCAACGTATACCTTTATGATCAGAATAGATGAAGCTTTGAACATGTAATAAAAATTTGAACATTCCGATTGATACTTTCAAAATTTCCAGGTAATAAAATAATAATTAATCATAATGTGTTTACACTAATTAATTTATCGCATAAATTTATCGGAAAATATTCGTTATTTTTTTTTTTTGCCAACAATAATAATTATTTATTTGAGTTTTTAAAAAATGATTGCATACCTTTTTTTTAAATATTGTTATTTTTTCGATGTTACATAAATAATATAATCCAAACTTTTACATAATTACACTTCGTATTACTTACCTACACTACGTATTTATATATTAAAAGTAATATCATAGTTATTCTTTGAATGTTGAATACACACATATATATATATATAAATACACCAGCATCTACATTAACATGTATGCGTTTAGACCGAAAGGCATTAAATGACTGATGGTTTCTATGTACTTAAGATTCAAGTAGAATAGTTTTTATACTAAAGAGTGCTTAACCGTGACCAAGGTTGCTAGAAATAAAAATGTATACCTGAACTTAATTTACAAAATTATTCTTGTTCATTGTTTTGTAAAAGTTCATTGAGTGTAAGCTGATTTTAATTTATATATATACATTAATATATATGAATTAATAAAAAATCAAGTTTATATCAAATATTTACTATGAAAAATATTTAAATTTCAAGAATACTTTTTAAGCTAAATCTTTAATAAATTTTAAGATTAAAAATATATATGGCATTGCTGAAAGGCTATAATTTAATTGTTGAAACAAAACAACTAATTATCTAAGATTTATTAACGTTTAATATTTTCAATTTCCAATAGTAAACGACAAAATTAATGATTAATTAAATAACGACTTACAAAATAAAAATTGTATTTAAATAAAAAACAATTACATATGACAACTACATAAAAATAAAAAGGCACTCTGAGCGAGATAAAATGCAATCGAAATTGAATAACAACAGAGGCCACAGGAAGGTGGGTGTGTAATGTTAAGCACACATTATATAACGGGTTCTATCAGTACTGATGTTTGTCTTCGGTACCAAAGTCATATTCGGGTTGTTGTTGTTGAATATATTTATAAGATGGTACTGTGATATATTTATATTGAACGGCTGGCTGTTCATATGTCTGTGGAATTTTCTGTAATGGTTCCTTGTATAAGTTTTCGTATTTATAAGCGTATTTTAGAGCTTCTGTTTGTCCATCTTCTTCTTCTTCTGGTTCGCTGTTTACTGCTGGAGGTTGCACGTATTTATAAGTGGGAGAAGCCGCCAAATATTTGTAGCCCGGGGTTGAATTAGCATCTTCGAGTTTTCCTGCAAATGCTGGTGCAGCTGGTAATGATATGTATTTGTACTCAGGTTGGATCAAAGGTTTATCCAAATATTCATACTAAAACATATAAAATGTGTTCAAACTCAACGTTTATAAGATGATTGTGGTTTTTAAAAGTATTGTTTAAATGAAATATCGTATTTTATTAAACTTTGATCACTAATCTTTTCTATTGATAAATTTTAAATAGATTTTTTTCCTAATAAAAATACAATTTTTTTCGAAATAAAAACAAGTATGATAAATGATATCTTTAAGGATAATTGCGTTACTTATTTATATAAACTAAATTGTATATAACATAAATTCCTATGTAATTAATATAAATGTTAATTACATAGGAATGTACAGCTAACTAACAACATAAAAAACTTGAATTATAGTATTATACCAGAAAACCGTACATTTCTTTCAGGTCCAGCTTATTGTAGTGGAAACCGAAAATAGGTATTAGGGAGATAGTGACGTTATGCGATTGACACATAACATTAATTTAACTAATATTTAATAACGAAAAGATTTAATTGAATAAACATGTAATTATTACAGGGTTTAGAAAATCATGTAAATTTCAAAAAACTATCCAAACTAATAAATAGGCCGAAAAAATCAAAAAATTTTAGTTCCTCGAATATTTTACATAATGCAAGTGTTATTTATTCACTGGTCACTACGAAATTCTTCTTTAAACAGAATAACTTGTTGATGCCAAACTGTACAAATGTGTTTAGAATAACTACTTAAGAAATTAAACCATCAAAAGTGATATTTCTTAATTTTTAATCGTATTATTATTTAACCCAGACAAATAAATAATCAAGTAGGCTGTACCTTGTAGCCTAATAATTTTAACTGTTACATGTATGAATAATGGTTTTTACATAACTCGCAATTAGAATTCGTGGACCTGTTCTGTATCTATATCAACTCATAGGCTCACACTACACTTGTTGTAAAACATAATAACACCTTCGAAATAAAGCAAAAAAATACTCGACTATCATATAATTGAATTTGCAGTTAGGAACCGGATTCTAATAGAGCTTGGAAAGTAAAATATTAAACATTCGAAACGGTAGCAAACTTATGCAATCTAAGAGTCGAAGGAGAAAGGTGACAGTCATTGCTTTTCTAGAGCTTCTCTGTATCACGTTCTTTGAAATTGGCTTCTATTCTCTCCAAATACATTACAAATTACAGTTTCAGTACTCACTTTATATGGAGTCTCGTACTTCTGTGGTGTTGCAGGAGGATGGTGAACCTTCACGTGTGTTGTGGAAATCGTAGCGTACGATGTGGCTGGAGCATAGTGATCGTAATGGCCGGCCGAGTAAGAGGGTGGTAACGCATAAATTCCGACTATAGTGGCACACAGCACAACGATCAAACGAACCTGAGAAAAACCGTTTGGAGTAAGCACTCATATTAGATTAACCCGAATAAAAATTACACTTAGTACCAGAATATACTCACCATATTGTTTACAGCCATCGTTTATATGGTCTGACGGATATTTCTTAGTGATAGACTTGAGAGAAAGGCAAAGAAGTTTTAATGTCCATACAGCATCGGTTGGTGCTTTTTATACCTTTCCCCCTCGATACGTATAATGACTATTACACTACAATATGATCAACATATCCTATAGAGTATGTGCCAGATTCAACCGCCTTTGTTACATCACATAGATGCACGATTATAGTCTCCGGAACACGAGGTTTGTCCCGTCGATCGTATTCCGACATGAAGTCGTGAACTTGAGATACCTTTTCACCTGGTCGCTGACCTAGAACCGCTTCCCTGATGTAATAATGAAGGCAGTTAATGTCTAAAACCATGTGTGATCCACAAATAACAAGATGGAAAGTAATTTAAAAACAACTACGGTCACAGATTCTTTATAAAAAAAATAAACACAGTTTTCTTTCTAATATATTTCAATAACATACGTTAGTTTAAATGGTGTACGATTAAAACAAAATGTTAATAGTTTGTGTAAATTATTTTGACAAAGTAATGATATGTTACTTTTAAACGCATATTGTATTATATTTTGATTTCGACATTAAACGGATAGATTTTATAGAGATATTATTTATCATCTATGTAATAATCTGCAAATGAATTTAGGTTACAATTATTTATAGACAATACCTCAAAAAGAGAATGGACTTATTTTAGAGTATTTTAGCATGCAACATTAAAAAGTAGTTGGTTTGTAAGTTAAGCTATTGTTAATATTCCATATTTTTTGATATGGTTATACAGATAAGTCAAATATTTTTATGATATAGGTTATTTTGTTTGAGAAAATAAAAATTTTGAACATTATCAATATTTATAAAAGATATAAATAAAAGTTCACACAAAATAAAAAAAGTATGTTAATATCGCCCAAGTGTTGAGATCTCTAAGTATGTTTATTTAGCTAGATCTTTTCAAAATGAATAAATAAAGATGTCTACCGGAATAATTTCAGCTGATTTTGTCTCAAAAAATAAACCTGTATAAAAATCACAATTTATGATTCTTTATCAAAAAGGGTAGGCATTTTTATGATGAGTATATACAAAAATTTGCGTTTTATTTAAAAAAATTAATTGAAGATATTCCTTACACACGAAGGATTATTGTAAAAATTCTATAAAAAAGACTTTTCATCTAACCAAATTATAAATTCTATTTTCTGGTAAATATATTTCACATTATTAGTACCTTAACTTTTATATTTGGTTATTTAACAGTTTAAAATTGTTTAAGAATTGGGAAATTGGGGATATTACTCCATTACCATCGTACTTAGTTTACCTTTATTCTTATCATCCATTTTTCTTTATTATATAACACTAAACGTCATTATATTACGATATTTATCTTTTTATAGAGCATGTTTACATTTGTTTTTAACTAGTGAAAGAAAATACCAATTGTTTTATAAAAGCTATTGAAAATAACGTTTATCTACATTAGCACGCATTAATGTAACCGATGTGAATAAGCAATTTTCCATCGGTTTAGGTTTATTTTTTCAATGACCACTGCATTGAATAATTTTTAATCATACATACTCATTATATAATTATGAAAACATTATATCGATATTAATATTTATAAAATATTATTTAGGACATGTCAAAGAAATACTAATTATTCAGAAAAAAAGTACTGAAAAACGTATTAATTATTGAAAATTAATGTTAAAAATAATTAAAATCATGTATTTTAAGTATAACTTGCATATTTTTTCATTTCCTTACTTTCGTATTAGTTCTTATAAATAATTTTGATAATTTTAGCCTGGACATAATTCCAGCTTATTCCTCGATAAACCGCTATTCAAAAATATAGTTGCACAATTTCTTGAATTGTATATCGTATTAGTAAAATAGATCAGTTTGGCCTAAAACTTACGTATTATTATTACTATTATATATTAGTTAAAATTTAATCTCAGAACGAGTTTATTTGTCCTGCTTTATGACTTCATTTCACTAAGTATTCTAACAGGTGGAAATAACTTTTACATACTATCGATCATTTGCAGTGAAGAATTGCAATAATGTTATTTGCCAATGCAACAGAAAAATAATACTAATTATATTGTCCAGAGTCTACCGACCGTGGTCATTGTTGCAATAAAGTACATTATAAATATATAAATTGTTATTCTTATATTATAATCCGCTGACCCACACCAAGGATAACGTAATAATTTGTATAATAATATTTTATCACACTACGGCATTCACAGCACTAATAATAATGTACTCCATAACCAAAGCAGAGTGTAGGTAATAATCTTCACGTTTTGAACTCGTCCAGTTACCACACCATCAGGTCATTGTTAACAATACGCTAAATGTGCGAAGACACGAAGATTACTACGATCGCGCACGAGTTTTTCCGATTCGCAAACAGTTGTTGGCTAACTGTCGCAGAAACAAGGCGTCAACCATAATCATTGTAACATTTCTTAAGGGATAAAAATTACATAGCCTTTGTATGCAACAAAAAACTGCAAACTATTTCGTAGGCATTTCATCTTGTAATAAGGTTTTCTGCACGAGTTAAGTGACGTATTCTTTAAAAATATACACATGTGTTCAACATTCATTTTTCTCGTATACTATTGATAAACTTTAACTATTAAGTAATTTTTAATTGTACATGTACATGCACAGTACATGATTCTTGCGCAGATTCACTAAACTAAAATTTTGTCAATACGTTTTTTAATTGCGCAAAACATGTATTCAAATGTATTTACTACCTACTTATTTATCAAAATTACTTCTAGAAGATAACATTATTTATCAATATTTATTTAAACTTTTTAAGTGATTCTTTTAATGTATTGATTCAAGGTAAATGTTTGTTATTTTGTTTTAAATACATTGTGTCACGTTCTAATAATTTGTATGATATTCTAATTTTACAATCTGTACCCAAATTTATAATACGCTGTAAACAATAAAACAGTACGTGCTGTTGACATGAGTTTTTATGTTTGCAGCTAATGTATACCCTTGCCAAGTTGTATTCATGTGCTAACTGGAATATTTAAAATTGTTTTTTAGTGTTGAGTCTCAATACTACAATTTACTACTATGCATTTTGCAGCAACTATAAGTGATTCAAAAGAAACATTTTGGCGGGGTTTTTTATTACTATTGATATGTTTTATATTGTGTCATTAGGCTGAACAATGGATAATATATTTCATAAAATATAAAATAGTGTTGGATCGTAAATTAAGCATTAAAGATATTTTTTCTCATTTTTATGTGATACTAAATTTTATTATGTCTAATAGATGCTGGTTTCATGTAATTTTTATAATATAACACATGTGTCTGAGTTACAATGTATCTGATACTAAAAATAAATTTAATGAAACTACTTTATTTTTTTATTGATTTCCAACGATATTTTAACACTTGCATTATGGAAAAATTATTAACGATTTTAACACTGAAACACTGATCAATAAGTGGGATAAGGGTGTCATACCCTGCCACACTAAAAAATTAAATGTATGTATAATAAAAATTGGTCACTTCTTAAATAAAATTAATAATATTTTTATTATAGTTATACTTTTATTTAAGTATGGTAAATATACTATATTATTTCTTGGAGGGAAAGTGAAGATTTTTCTTAAGTATATCCTTACGTGATGGATGCCTTTAAAAATAGGTATGTATTTACTATCTATTTTTAAGATAGGATAAATAAGACTAAACATAAAAAATTATTCTTCACTTTCGCTTTACCATTATTTTTCTTAACATTTTTTACACAGCATCCTATAAAGATACAATAAAATATTCCATATTACAAAAATACCTTTACAGTTATACATGAAAAATTACATAATCACCTCATTTTTTATTTAATAATTACTTTTGATATAATTTAGAATTAGAAAAATATTACCACTCAAATTTCAAAAAAATTTTAAGTCTCAATAAATATACCTTACACTTTAATAGTCATACTAACGTTTTGATGATCTATATTAAAAATTTCATTTTTATCATTAGGTTTTCTAAAATATTATACAAATGCCAATGTACTTTAAATTACTAAAACTAGCATTTTTGAATTTATCTTAAAAAAAAAAAAAATGATAATTTTAAAATAAAAAATTCCAATTTATTCGAGACCCAGAATATAGAAAACTTCAGTAAAGATTAATATCTGAATGATATTTACATCACTATTACAAAATGTTTCGATGCAAAGGTTCCTAAATAATAAAATTTACTTGGAATACGTATCAAGGTCAAAAACCTACATATTAAATAGTGCAAAAATATTGGATCTGGAAGGTCCAGACCCCTGGAACCTCACTTTTAAATCTACTACTGTGAATAGATTATTAATTACCCAATTCACATAATTAAACAGTTTCAAATAAAAATTATTTCTATTTGAAACTGTTTGATAGACAAATTAAAAGTAAAAATAAAATTGAATAATTTTTCTTTTTATTAATCCATTTCATATAACACATTAAAGATTGGTTCGCTTTTTTTTTAATCATTGAGTAGGAACGTTTTAGAGTCTTTGATTTGATATAGGTTAAAAGTTGTTAGATGTTTCTGTAATATCTCAAAAAAATGTAGGATTATTCTTTCAATTTTTGTAAGTATTGCCTTCAACTACATTTAATTCAAGTTATTTTGACGTATAGATTAGAAAAAGTAAATTCACATTACAAAAATACCAATAAAGATTTTTTTTAACTGTGACATTTGCAGAATTAGTTATTAATGTATTTTTTTCCATCATCAAATTTTTTACCTAGGCTGACATTTAATTAGTAAAACTGACCTCAATTAAATGTATTACACAAACATGTAATGTAAGAGATTATACGTAGTTGAAATTATATAATTTTTCAATGCATAATAATTTTTACTCATATTTTCATTTAATTAAATTTGGAATATTTTTTAAATAGTGTAATTTTTATTAGCATAATTTAATTTTATAAATAAATTCACTACATACATTTTTAAATTATCTTGAAAATGTTTGAAGTGTTACAGGTATTAATTCCAAATACATTTCCTGTATTATAAAATAATATCTGATCAGCCGTTGCAACATTACTTAATTATTATACTTGTGTTGCGTATTTAAACAGACTTTTTTATTCAATTTCTAATTAATTTAAACAAAATATACTTATATATTTACTTATATAACCAAAATATAACGCAATATTTAATAAAGGTACGACTTTATTTCTATAATGCAGCTACCCCGTGTTAAATTTTATGTGATAAATTGTTTTATAACTAAAATTTTATTTAAGGTCTTCGGAGTTTCAGTTGAACAATAAGACGACATAGATAAATATGTTATTCAGGTACCACGATTTGTACTAAGTAGAAAATAATCATCTGGGTAATTAATTAATCTGAAATATAAATAGTGAACTCGCAATTAATATCTTCAATATTTAATTGGAAAAAAGGGAAATTAAGATCATAAATTTTAATTAACAAACCTTTCTCCATCATCTTACTAAATCATTTTAATTATGCTAAAGAATAGCCATTCGAAATTGGAATTTCCAATGGTTGAACTATAATAAACAAATAAATATTGATATACTAACACGCAACGCGTGTACTGACCGACGGCCGCATAAACATTATTTTTATACTTATATTGATTAGACATATCATTTTACAATAAAACATATATCCTTACGATAATTATTCATTTATACCTTTAAAAAATCACATTATTAAAATGAACAAAACATTACATCCATGACGTCATCAGGTTAGTGAATTTTATTATTCACTTGTCCAGTCGTAAATACTTACATATAAATTACTATAACATACTGTTTATGCCCAGCCCAACCGTTGTGTAAACCAGTTTAAAATAATTATTGGTGGTTGGTTTTATTTCCTAAGTCCTAAGACGAAGCATTACGAAAAACGGAAAATTAACATTACGACAGTTTTTTAACATACTTATTTTTATACGTATTTATATTAGGGTTTATTTCGAACGACTTTGACGTTTGAACAATTGCATAATTCTGTAACACAGTTTAAAAGTTATGTAACAAAGTCCGTGTTTTTATTTCATTTAGTTTTGTTGTCAAAAATTATCATTAGGTGCGATTATTTTAATAACAGTGCGGTACGTCTAAATCTAAGTGATTACACCTTAGAACTTGCAGACATTTTTGGCAAGGCCTCAACTAGTCATACTGTGAGAACCCAAACTGTCCGTCAAAACCGCGACGAATATTAATGCACGTTAAGACGTTTTTCATGAGAACAAAATTCGCTAAAGTATAGTTTATTTGACAGTGAGCTATACCTTTTGGCTCTGAAGCATTGACTTCTGAATTTTGTATACACAGTTCATTCATGCATATACATTAATAATGTACACTGTGTATGTACTACTAGTTTTTTTAAATTTAATTTAATATGAAACGGTACTGGTGAATAGTGTGACATACACAAGTGTGCGTTCCGATGTGTATTTAAACAAAGTAAAACATGGATTTTTATTTTTTATATTTACTGTAACCTTGTACATAATTAAACTGTACAACTTGTTGACTTGTGTGAGTTTTATATTGGTACTTAAAGTCAGTTGCAGTTGTAAAGGCACCTAAAATAGTATTCAATGAAAAACAATAGCCATGCGTTCATGAACTTTACAAATGTAAATGACTAAAGCTCAAATTTTAAATATTTCGAGTTTTTAAGTATTTTTAACAAATTATAGATTGTGGTAACTCATCAAAATTCTAATACGAAGTAAATGGATTACTTCTTTTTATCTTTTGACTAATAATTGTTTTTAATAAATTATTGATTAATATTTCATTTCGCTATACATTTATCATTATTTGCAATTAAATGATTTTGGTTACAACCAAAAACGTACAGTGACTTGTTAAATTACTCTATTTTGAATACAAAATATATAAATTGTTTTTACATTTTAACTCTCTTTAGCATATTAAATTATCAGATTAAAAAAAATTATGATTTTTCATTAGAAACAACATTAATTTAGTTTCTTTAATTACTAAATGGTAAAATCGCTCGTTTGTTTTTCAATAATTATTTTAAAGATCCGTAAAAGGACGTTAATCATCTTGACTAACGGAATATTATTATTTACGGTTACCTATTAAATTATTCTACTGTGATGGCTATTGATTAGTACGTTATAGTAATTTAACGGAATGTAACGTTTAGTTCAACCACTTCTTAGATGAATATCCTTCGATAATAATCTTAACAAGGCACTAATTACTTAATGAATGTAGTGGGCAAGACTTGAATACCTTAGAATTAGAAAGCGTAATGTGCTTTTTAAACTTTTTTTTATGGTATACAGTTAATACATATCCAACATTGTGAATTTTTATGTAAACCTTTATTTTATATCGTTAAAATATTTTATTTTAAAGCTTTTCACGTGTTTCTATTCCTTTAATATTAAAACTAATGAGCATTTTTTTTTTATTTATTTAATTGTCTATTTCTTGAATACATATATTTTTAAATAAATTGAGCTATTATAGTTTTACGATAAAACTCTTATCATTTAAATGATTTTAATTTAATTGTAAATTTCTTAATAAAAAAATAACATATTCTGTTTTGTTTTTTATTTCATTAAGTATATAAAATTTTTTTACAAATTTTACAATTTGAAACAACGGTCAAAATACAAAATGTGTACAATAGGTTTTTTCTACTTCATTATATTTTCAACATGGTAAAAAATTATAAATGACAAGAATTATCTAGAAAACAAATACAGAAAAAAATAGGTTTTATAAAAAAATTCATTTGTCGCCACGCTGGCTCCGAAGAAATAGCTTGTAAAAAATGTCTGCGATGCAGCCAACTTCTTGATTTTATTAAAAACATATGGCAATATCATGAACTTAAACCTAACACAGTTACTTAACACCTGTGGATAAAAAAAATTAAAATAATTGTGTTGTTAGAATTAGATAAATTAAATTTACTTACAAAAAATACATAGGTTTACCATAAGTCATGGTCTGAGTATAATGGTTTATGGATAGGCAGTGGCAACGAAGGGTATGATTTATGTACGTCTATATGATAGGCGTGAGCGTGGTGTACAGGGTATTCGACATGTTTGACTACTGGAATTGGATATGGTTCGGGTACTCGAATATGTACAGGGTACGGCCGGTCAACAGGAACAGGATATGGTTTCTCAACTCCTACAGCATAAGGCTTAGGAACAGCAACTGGATAGGGTTTAGGCACTTCGACGGGATAAGGTGCTGCTACTGGGTAAGGTATATGCTTCTCTATGGTTACCGGATATGGCTGTGGTACCGGAACACTCTTGGTAATAGTAGTGGCTGTATGGATATGAGTTGGATATTGACGATGAACGTGCGGTAAGTGACCTGAGTAACCATTTAATGTACTACCAAGACCATATCCTCCCAAGGTACCGTAACCATGCCCGTGGTCGCTGTAACCATAGCCTAAATCCCATAAACCTCGTTTGCCAACTTTCTTGCTGGACGGAATTTTATTATCGGATTTATTTGTTGCCTCTTCGCAGTTAACAATTGTAAGTACAACCAAAATCCAAATAATCATCTGAAATAAAATTTAAATTAAAAAAGTGCGTTTGCTTTATGTATATTCTAAGATTTATACTTTTAGCTAAAATGTCTTTACAAAATAGTTATTTAGTTATTTATATATAAATGTTATGGTTTTTTTACACAAGCGAATGAAGTACACGAATGTCTATGTAATAGCCTACCCAGACGCCTGTTGTGAAACAAAAGGTAAATTAAAAAAATCATATATAAACATCAAAACAATAATATTTGAACGTGTAGTTTTTAAAATTAAAAACTATTTGATATTTTTTATTGTTTATCTCTACATTTATTTAACAGACATTGTGTATGGATTCATTAAATAACAGTAGTTAAGTCATATCAATTGCAAAAATTAATTATACATTAGTGATACATTATACCAAATACAGTTATAATATTCTCAGAAGTAATTTATAATTTTGTAAGGCTTTTATATTTAAAATTTTCTTAATCATCATGAACGAAAAAATAACTGAGAAGTTCGTGTTTAAATGATCGTGGACATGATATTTATTTATCAACACAATTACGATGATTGACCGTTCTTATTTATGTAAAACTTACTTAAATATAAAACATCATATAAAATGTTATCTTTTTAAAAATCTAGTTTTGTCAAGGCATCATTTTGAGTTAATGAAACAAACAGCATTTAATTTTCATTTATTAGTTATTGTTTATATATTAAAAATATCTCAAAAGAAATGAACAACGTGAAATTCCAATGCTAAATATTTATCCATAAGTCCCCATAAATTGTTGAATCCTATTAATTTATCATATTTAATATATGCTTTGAGTCACTAATGTCAGCATAACAGAAAATAAATCAACGTTTAAGTGTTTAGCGATAATGTTAATATTCTTCAATCGTAGCGTGACTACATAATATAAATGTCTCAGTTTCATTTACAGAAATAATGAATTTTCTAATGTAATAATGTAAAAATTAAATGACAACCAATTTTCTATTTTCGCAACTACCAGCAATACATGGAACTATTAAACTTCATGGGATATGCCAATTTGAATATTATCCAGGTCAAAGAAAAACTATTAAAATACGATTTTACACAAAAATATTATCTAAATGAGTAAAAATTATTCTTGTATAAATAATAAAAATTGTCTAAATTATATAAAAAAAAGAAAATTATCAATTATGATGAGAAAAAGAGTAACCCACAGTACTGTTATTGTAACCGAAAGTGCCCCTATTGCCAATATCTTCAGTTTGCATAATATTTGTACAAAACTCATGGCGCTCACTCTAATGGCGCGTGACTGAAATTTACTGTTAAAAACATTATTGTTAAAAATCGAAGGTAATTCATATAATACGATAACATAATTTGAATAATGATGTGTTACTATAAGGAGTGTACGTATCTGCGAGGGTATGATATCTATGAAGAAACGGTCAGTTGCGTGGAATTTTCGTCTACGGTGAGTTTATGTACTATATGGGTACGCGTGATGCATACTAAAAATTATTTAGTAATAATAGAAGAAAAATAGCTGAAAACACTTTAACGACTGCAACTACCGTTGTGTAACTGTCGTCGATTTTTTAGCGAAACTCAATACATTGTAGCAAATAAAATTAACATTTACCGACAAACCAAAATTGGTTGATGCGTTTAAGTCACCAAGAATACAGTAGAAAATAAATAACATATTTTTAAGTTAAATTAACTAAAATTACAAAATTATTTGATTAAGAAAAAAAAAAATTCAAATGTATTTTACTATATCATAGACTAATCAGTCAATAAATTTCATGGAATTTTAAGAATTTTTCAAGTAGGTCTTTGGCTATTCGTGTTTAAAATTAATTTTAAGGTAGTTATTTATACTTTTTGTTATTAAAAAGTGAACCATAATTGATAATTGAGCTATTTTGAATAATGTTTGAAAAATCAGAAAGTAAAATCTACATAGATATAATAATGTATACATTATATGATTCATAAATTCAAATTTATAAATGTGATTACACGTCCACTACTATTCCTTAACAATAATTATCATTTTTTTTTTACTCAAACATTTACTTAACAGTCGTGCAAACATTTTACAATAACAATATGATTTATTGAATTAGCTTCACAATTGTTATAAAATTAAATTGAACAATATCATAATTAATGAAAACAAACGTAAAGACATTTCTTATGAATATATATAGCCAACCAATTTATAATAAACTTATGTAACATAGCAAGTGAACCATAAAGTTTTATCATACAAAATATTCAAAAGTGGTGAAATATTTTGGCCCAAAAGATTCTATTTCTTATAATTTTTATGATGGTCAATAGTTTTTGTTAGATACACATTTAATTAAGTACAGATATTAAAGAGACATAGATAATTTTATTAATATTCGTATTTATCAACTAATTAAAAAACCCTTAAAAAATATTGTTTAAAAATTATACTTCATATGTTAAAGAAAGTTTTTTTTTCAATATTAAATATTCCAGGTAAATATCCTAAATAGCATTTAGGTTGGCTTTCATGACCAATGGTTTGCGACAAATTTATTTGAAACAAATGATTTGAAAAAATAAACATTCTTATCAGTATTCTATTTAGTAATATTTTACTAACATGTATAAATATCGTTTTAAACTATGGTAAAATTGTACCTTGTTTACATTAAAAACAATTACTAGAGTAGTTTTTTTTTAAGTATTTTGAGAATTAACAATATTTATGTTTAAAAAGAATAAGCTTCTTATTAAAATAAATGATTAATATAATTAAAACATACTATAAAATCTTAATAATAATTTCCATTAAAAATATTTTCAAACATGTTAACTTACCATGTGTCTCATTTTTTTGTTTAAATGAAAATAAAACAAGAGAAATTTATGATACAACAAATAACACTTAATGATAAAATAATAAACAACTGATATTTAAATGCCACCCTTGGTCGAACAATCTAAGTATGACGCATGTCTGCAAAATTATGTATAATATATAGAAGACCAGTAGCGGTCAATCCCACCACCAATATATCAAACGATTATTGTGTATCACACTTCAATTGAGTATACCTATGCATACTTTGCATCCCACCTTACTTTATTAATTCAAGAAATCATACATCCTAATATATACTTGATGACCACTGTAATAATACAACACATCAACAAATATATACTTTTGCAATAGACTAAATTGTATCTAACATAATAATAGACATTTACGTGTAATTGTTAAAAATATCATAAATACATAAACCTATAAAAATATTTAAACATAATATGGTGCAACAGGCTTAATAATTAACCCACTAATAATACGGTTTTGGACCTTGAGATAAATCACAAAAATTGATATTCGTGTTTAATATTTTAGTTTTTGAAACTTGAAAAATAGTGCACAGTTATGCAAGGGCATAATTTAGGAAGATAAATCTCTCCAAGAACTAAAAATATTTTATGAAAAATAATTTTTCTTTATTTAGAGAGGTAGTCAAAATATGTCTTACCGTCCAAAAATTAAACCCTCATTCGTTAGCAAGTACAACGGTTATAGGTAAAAATTTTCAAGAAAGCTAAAAATAAGAATAGTATTACGAGATACTATTTTGATGGATTCATATCTGAACCTTTGATTGACAAAAAATTTTCAGTAAAACTAAAGTAAAAAGAAAATATCACCTATCTCTACTTAAACTACAAAATAATAAGGTATTACAAAGAGTTGATTTTTTTTTAATAATTATTTTCTTTTTGGAATACGTTTAAAATGTATTTCATATAATTTATCACTAATAAAATAAATAGAAATAAAAACTTTATTTTTTCAAAATTCGAATGGATTGATAACAATTTTAGAACATGCACTCATTGAGTTACCAACATTTCAATATTTAGAGTGGGTACATACTACTGGTGGGCACAGCTCGTACTAGTGTAAGTGAATTCCACCCGCTCTTCATATCCACTATAAATATTAAAATACTATAATAAAATATATCTTATTGATAGTGTGTATATACTTACTAGTAATGAACTATTTCTCATTACATTGCAATTTAAATTACACTTATAACTGTATATTACAACTATTATTTTAATAGATGTAATTATATTACTTTGAGGCAGGAGGAAAAAAGTTAATGACAAATACTTAAAGATAAAAATAAACAAACCTCTATTCACCTCCATACTTTAATTTGAAGTGTTAATAAATTCCAAAATTTTCAAAAGTCATTATCGATAAGTGATTTCTTTAGTTATATCATTTTCTTATTTTTAAGCTAGTTAAGCATGTGTATTTCCATTAAAAAGACTAGAATTGATACAAATTTAAGAAAAAAAAGGATATAACTATATTTTTTCATGTAAATTAAAGTGGGTTGGGTTCTTAAGCGGATTTAATGACTTCTAAAAAAAAAAAATTATACTTTATTATACTTGTGAAGTTAACGTACTTAGCGGATCGCTCTGTATAGTAAAATACAAATATTGAAGCCTGGCGTTTAAGTTACTTACACTTTTACTTAAATAGATGTTTAATTTTTAAATACAAAATTGACATTATTATATTTCATTTTCTTAAATAAAGTATATGGGTTCTTTAAACATAATTGTTTAATTACCTTATACACAGCTCTTGTTAGATCTACACTTGAATTTGGCTCTATTATTTGGAACCCAACTCAAGCCGGCCACAAAAATAAAATAGAAAAAATTCAAAGACGCTTCTTTCGAATGTTTCACAAAATAGGTATGGTAGGTAAATCAATCAATGATGTTGCAATCAAATGTCAAATCCCGACCTTAGAATCAAGACGTCTATTTATTGATTTAACATTTATATACAAACTATTAAATAATAAAATTATCTGCCCAGAGCTACTGGAACAAATTTGTTTTAAAATACCAGCTTATAATACCCGATCTCAACAATTATTTTTTACTATTCTAGGGAAAAATAATTTCATTAAATATAGCCCATTAAACCGTATGTTAATGTCTTGTAATAATAATTCCAACTTTGATTTTTTTTATGATTGTCCTAACAAATTAAAATGTGTAATAACTAATAATACTCATCCTAACACAAATATTTAATGTTATATTCATAATAATTCATTACTTCTAATTTATATTATTTTTATACTTAATATCTAATTATTGTTCACCTTAATTTTATAAATGTATCACTGTATATTGTTAATTTTTTAAAATTGTATTTATATTATTATATTACTACCTGTACTACATTGCCCTTCGAGGGTGTTATCTTATAAATAAATAAATAAATAAATAAAATAATTAATCAGTTTAAATAATATTACTTTTAAACTTAACTACTTCAATTAAAATGTAATTTTCCCATGCTTAGATACTTTTTAGTATACTTTATTCTTTGAAGCTTTTGAGTATAACTTTAATAACCTCTCAATCGTAGGTTTGGAATTAAAATCCTTTCATAAATCATTGTGAGAATTCATATTATTTCTTTATAATAAATAATCTACTCGTTATTGTTCTCAACTTGTATTATTAAATAAAATAGAATAAATTATTAATGCATCATATCACTTCATAATTAAACAATTTCAAAGATAATTTTCTTAGTGTTAATGTTAAAATTATTTCAAAACGGCTTGTTATATTTTAATTGTATTACTCGTGCTTTGCAATAATAAAAAAGATTGTACCCGTTTTTGAATATTGGGTATTCTTCGGCGCAGTCGGTCAGGGACCTCGAAGTTTAATTGTCACAATCAACAAAATAATGTAACATAACATAACACTTATCTACGCGATATAATAATACAACATCTGACTCAGAGAAATCTCATTTGTAATACAGAGTACCAAACTATTGACCTCTTATTATTGTGATATTTGAGTAGAAGTTCTAAGTAATAACCAACCTTGAAGAGCAATAATTACAATCATACGCAAACGATCTAAAACATATTGGAACAATTATTATTGAGTCTAAGTAATGAGATAACTTATTTTGATTATCATTGTTAGTATATACTTATGTAGTTTTATTATTTCTGTTTAATGTAGTTTAAAACTTTTCAATATAATTTAACAGCTAAAACTATGAAATACTTGTTTTTGTATTCATCTATAAAGCTAAAACGAGGTGAACAACAACAAATAATAGTAGCAATAACAGATACATGCGTGGAAAATTGGAGCAGGGCCGGACATATTTTTAATTTCTCATGTCCTCCTCTTGTTGCAATTGGATTTTTATGAATTGTTATTCATCGCATTACTTTTTTATAATTGGATTTGACATGTAACGTGAGACTGAGAAACAATAATTATTCAGTTAATAATATACCCAACTGGTAAATTGTAATAGTTATTTTTACTTTTTAAAATATCTTAAATAAATTATTTTAATGTAAATCATTTTTTTAATAAAAAAGTAAAATGATAAAATAATATAAAACATATATATTACATAATTTTTAAATGTCGTTGCAAATTTTTATGCCTGCTTAATCAAGTTTTTAAAATTTAAATATTTTTTACGTTGTATTTCAGTTATTTGTTATTGGATCACAAGCTGAAGATCAGTTAAAAGTAAATTACTGCTTTGAAAATAACAAAATTAATTTAAAAGTTAAATTAACATTAAATCAAGAAGATTGAACTTAAGTTGATTTATTGAAAATTAATTTCATTAAAATTGTCAACTTTTATTCTTAGATTAAAATTAATCATTGAAAAAAGTTGAAATCATTTGAGGACTTCGACATATTTTTATGAAAGACAGCTAAATATTTTAATAAAGTTTTTTTTTAATTTTGATGAATAATTCTAGGAGGCCGCGCGTCCAGTGCATCTATTTCCTGAATCTATACTCCGTACATCCTATTTTAGTTTTAAAATCATTAATATAAATCATATAGCAATATAATCTTTAATACATCCTTAAAATATAAATAATTTGACAATTAAATTTTTATTGTCCTTGTCTGTAAATTACTAATGAGTATTTATATATAATTTATTAACTTTAGTTGATTGCCACTTAAAAACTAGATAAAAATTGAATTAAATCAAAATTATATAATTATTAAACATGTAGATTTTGAATAATGTAACGTGTAAAATTATATAGTTTTAAAAAATCAATTAGCAATCAATACTTTTTATTGATTTATTTAGGCTAAAAATAATAATTACCATACATTTAATGTGACACCCGGCTTATTTAGTGACAGATGATGTAAACAATGGCACGATTTGATGTTTTCACTTTTATAAGATCCTTCCGGATTATATGAAAATTCAGTGGCACGTACTTTGGCACTATATAGCGCATTGTTAATCCTTACATAAATCCTTATTATCGATTCACTTAACGGCCAGTTTTATGATATAATATTTTTTAAGTCGTATATTTTCTGACCAGCCGATTCATTTTCATTCATAGTCCGTTTTTGTTAAACTTTCAGTTGGAAAAAATCAAACAAGAGAAAGCAATCAATCGGATATAAAACTGAAATTTGATCTGTCGTGCTCACCATTCGCTTTTATTGTCTTTAAGTTAAAACATCTATGCAGAAAATAAACATGACGATGAAGACCATTGTTGTGAGTAAATTGTTTTAATTTTGTATTTTATTTTTATAATTTGAACGTAATTGATGTGATATAATGTCAACTTGTACTTCAAACGTTAAATGTGTTATATTAACTTTCAAAGTTTTATTGTATAACTTAAAATCGAAAAAAGTTTATAAAAATTTTTTAAATTTGACATCTTTGCCATTGACTACAATATTAAAATTATTACTTAAAAAATTAAATACACTAATTTTTGTTCACCACAGTTTTCTTTCTTTTTAAATAATATTAACTTAATTTTAATTTCATTGTATCCGTAAAATAGCTTTTAATTAAGTTAACATTTATATTTTATAATTTAGGGTTTTTTTTTTTTAATAAGCCTAGTAGATATATTTTAATAAGCGTATTCTTTTTAAAATCATATAAGTTTAAATGAGATATTTCCTTTCTTCTTTCATAGTTCACATTCAATTTGTTTGTTTTATCACTCTTAATGAAAATAAATTAAAATTTATTCATAATTAACATTTTTAATAGTTGATTTTTTTCAATGGCCTTATTAATAATTATAATACTTACACTTATGTAAATTTAATTAATATCCGGTGACCAAAAATTGTTCGGTTGAATATTTATGGAAATTAGTTTTTCTTTAATTCTAAATACATTTACGCATATAAAGTTATAAATTGTTCAATAAAGGAATAATTGTATGCTAACAAATTCACATAAAAATTAAATAGCTTATTAAGTTTCAAATAAATTAGGATAAAGATATCATGTTAATTGATTAAAATAAAAATTCATTTTAAATTATTTTTTCTATAACACAATAACAATAATAATTTATCTACTAAAATTATTCCAAAATAGTTTATTGAATATGAATTGAACTCATCTAAGTTGAATTTATCAAGTTAATTTGACAAAAAAGTTTATGTTCACAAAAAATGATACTTACATTAATATGTACTCGATATTGTATTGGAAATTTATGTTAATTGTAACAAAAAATAAACTTAAAACATTTTTTTAAATCTCCAGGTCTATACAATTTGTTTAAATTGACATTATAACAAATGAAATTGCTATGTACCTTATCAATATTTTATATTTCATAAGTTTTCTCAATGAATTTTAATGATAGTGATGTGAATTTTGTTACAGTTATGCGCTTTGCTGGTATTGGCTATAAGTACATCAGTAAAATGTAAAACATCTCATACAGAAAAAAAAGCATCTAGAAGAAGTATAGGCGAATACCACGAACATTATGACCACGAGCATCTTGCCCATTATGCACCATATCACAGCCATTACCCTTTATACCACAGTCACTATGCTCCTTATCATACACATAGTTTTTATAATCACCATCATCACCAACCGATTGTGTATCAATCACTTGTGCAAGCTGTTCCAACAGCCACCACAGTAGTTCACAAGCCGGTTCCTGTACCAGTACCTCATCCTGTACCCGTTCCTGTTGCTCGACCTGTACCTGTGGAGGTTCCACGTCCATACCCCGTTGAAGTTCCTAGACCATATCCAGTAGCTGTTAATCGACCATTCCCCGTGCACGTCATCAAACCTGTGCCGGTTCCCGTTGCCCAACCATATCCAGTCACCGTTTACAAACCTTACCCAGTACCAGTGTACCGACCACTTCCTGTTGCCGTGGCAAAGCCCGCTGTAGCTGTACAATACGCTGCTAGACTCCCTGTCCGCCTTCCATTGAGATACAACCCTCAGCCAAGTTACAGTTATCACGGTCATGCTGCTGCCTATGCTCATCATCATGCTTATACTCCTTATTATACTTCAGCTGCAACATACGCTCCAAATTCTGCTTATTCTCAAGCACCAGCACATGCTCAAACTCCAAATTATGCTGCAACTGAACCTTACATCGCTCAAACAGCCCATGTCAATCAACTAACTCGTGGAGTTCAAAACGAATATGAAGTAAATGAACAGACTAACGAAGAAGATTACTCGGCGTTCCAAGAATCGCAAGAAGCTAATCTTGGACTTGAGCAACTTCGCGGCAATGTGGAACAAGATATTGATACTAGATACCCTCCATTAACCAACGGACAGGATGTTAGTTTGGCCGTTCCAAATACCGACTACGCTAATACAAAAAAGAAATGAACTTTTTCGAATAAAATACATATCTAATATAAATGAATAGCCAAAGGAGGATTTTATAAAGACTGCGTTGTTTGCACTTGTTATATTAAACACGGTAAAATTGTATCGTGCTCTTGTTTGTTAAAATATAAATTAGTAATTAATATTGTATTATAACGATTTGATTTGTTGACATCCATAAGAACTAAAATAATTGCGTATTCAGTAAAGACTAAAAAGAAATATTTGTGGTAAAATACGTTTAAAAGTATTGATAGATTAAATATTAACACATACATTTTAAACTCGCTAAAAAGTTAAGTTAGTTTAACTTTTCTTCTTAACTGATTATTTTTTTAAGGCAAACTAACATAACGTGTGCTCTCCAGAAAATAAGTGATATTTCAAGTCTGTTTCGTAGTTTCATTCACAATTTAACATTCCAGAACACTGAAGAATCGTAAAAAAATTATCGTAGTAATCTACATATTGAATATTATATTGATATGACAAGTTAAAAGATAAGATATTATTCATATTGAATAAATAACGATTAATACTCTTTTATGTTGTAATTAAACTTGAAATTCCGCATTGGATATAAAATTATAGATTAAAAAAATATATAAACATATGAGGTTGCGTCAGGTCGACAGCTGGTGTAAAATCTGTCAAATCGTAGGGTAGAGCCAATCTCAAATAGTTAGGATAGGAGATTATGATAATTAACAAATGAAAAAAAAAAAAATCTGAAGTAATATAAATACTAAAACTTTATTAAATTTTTCAGTATGAACACATTCATACTTTTTTCCAGTTTAATTTAGTTTTATTATACATTTAAAGAGTCCTATCTCTCTAGTGAATTAAGTATCTCGAGGGGTTTTAGGTTTTTTATATCTTTTTTTTCAGAAAAATGTTTTCCCGATTAATCAGTAGTTACTGAATTAAGTTTTTTAATTTCTATTGATTTTTTAGTAAATTAATACTAAAGCTGAATTTTTTATTTATTTTACTTTTGCTTAACAAAAATTAAATCACTATAGTTGAATTTCTATATATGTCAGGTTAAAAAAATATTTATTTTTTTACTAATCTGGTTTAACATAATATTTTAGCGAATATTTTTTTTTTTTTTCTAAAGATAGATAATTATGAAGTTATATTACAAACTAATAACGCTTACGTCTAATATTTTAACGACAATTAAACACTAAAACTATGTCAAAGATAATTTATGTTATGTTATACTATCACTTATAATATTAACATTAAATATGATGTTATCGTTTGTACATGTACGTCACACATTTTGAATATACAAAATCACCAAAACAGGGTTCCCTAATTTAAAATACGAAATAACCATCTAATTATGAGATAAAATCTAATTATTGTACTGATTTTTAAGTAACGCCTACACGTATGGCATTGCAATTACAAAAGAAAGCCTCAGCTTCCAAATTCATGCTAGGGATCACTAAACTATATTTTAAACATTAAATCTTTTTTTTTAATAATAAATACAATCCAACTTTAAATTTTTATTTAATAGTAAAAATTTATTATGAGCCTGTTGAGTAGCTTAGAGCTTAATGTCTTTGCTCTGACGAACATCGCGCCGGCGGACAGCGCTAAGATACTTACGAATATATTTTCAGTATTTAATTTTTGTCTTGGTGATTATTGTGCCTTATCCTTCCAAAGAGCTAGCACCAGGACACATTGGGCCACCACAATACCGCCTTGATAACAATTTTACATAGATATAAATATTTTTAAATCTTGTTTTGGTCAAACCAGAGAAAGATTTAAGAAATATTGGTGTCGATCTCTCAAAAAATATACTCTCCTCAAAAATACTTAATCGACAAAGATAAAAAAATTAAAAAAGAACAAATTATAAAATTATATTTCTAGTAAAAATACACAGTGTTTAGAATCTTTTACATATTATCAGTCATAGATTTTGTGTAATTAAATAGTATTATTTAAAATTTGAATCGTTTCGTGAGTAATTATATTGACCATATGACGTGTAGTGTAAACAGTATACGTATTGCATTTAATACAAGAATCAACATTGGATTACTTAAAATATTATTGCGTGATATAGGACCCAAGGTAAGTACAATTTAACCTACCCTTTCGAAACTTCAACAATCTATTGTGTAATAAGCCATTAAGAAAAATTATACAATTTTAAGGGATATTTAACATAATTTATTAATTAATATTATTCAACCCCGAGATATCGATATTTACACATTCCATAATTTTAGCCCTTTTATCCATTTACTACCACCTTTCCCTTACATTCATATTTTATTTTATATTTCATTATCCTTTTAACCTATATTATATATATATATTTATTTTATTTTTGGTTTATTACATTCAACATTTTGATTCGTTAGAAATTTAAGAATATTTTATCATTAAAATTAAATTTCGCAATAACTGTCACTAACGTCCTATTATTTATTAAGGCTTGATATGCTAAGAACATAAAAGCAGCATTTCTATAAATAGTATTTTCATATTTTTAAAACTTAAAATAATTTCAAAATTTGTGATAAATCTTATGTTATATGAGTAATCTAAATATAGTTATCAAAATGCAAATAGAACTTGGGTATAATGCCCAAAATTAAAAAACTTGAATATATTAAATTTTTATTATACTCAAGTTCATTAGTTTATATTAGTAACAACATCAGTATAAACACAATTCCATCTGTCATTAAAAATACTAAAGCATTAGAATTTCAATGTAATATTTTTAAATTTTCGACTTAACACTTTTTACGCGTGGACCAAAGATATTCTGATCTGACAACATGATTAAAACAGCGCGGGCAATCTACAAGGTAAATAATTTTTCTTCCATGAGAGTAAATAAAAAACTATATCTTTTAAGGTTACGAATATTTATTATGTAACCGGAACTTAAAGCGAAACACGATAGTACGCATTATCAATTTACTATCATTATTCAATCTTTCTTCTATGCAAATTATTTGTATTCGTTATTACTTTCAATTTTTGTTTTTGTCATAATTTTACTAAAATTTTTTTAAAGAACAAGAGTTTATAAAACTTTACTAAGTAAAAATAGTTGTATCGATTTACTATTCCGTTATTGAGTTAAATAAATTCCATTTCTATGAAATTCATAACGAAAAATTAATAAATATTTGAAAATTTTCGCGGATACGACTTGTAAAAAAAGAACGTTTTAAAATGACTATTCCTCAACTTGATCAATTTGTGTTGACAGTCAGAAACCTATCAAATATGTGTTAGTTTTTACTCACGTTTTTTTAATCATATTACTCATTTTTTAAATTTTATATTTTTAAAATAATGCAGTTAATTTATAGAAAATTAATGGTAACCTAAGAATGGAAAGATGATTTATTATACAAAATGTTTTTTTTCAGCTGGAGACAATAGAGAAATAAATGACTACCTTACTAAACAAACGGATACTCTTCATAAGTATGCTGCAAACCTAGATACAGTTTTAGAAGCTCTAGATGTACATGAGAATTCTTTAACAGTTATCACTATACTAGGTGTGAAAACTACAGCTCAAATACCTGCGGATATACCAGCTGTTCAGTATCATACTGCTGTAGCATCGCAAATTAATGATTTTATTAATGCTGTTAGTGAGGAAGAACTTAGAGCAATATCAGAACAATGTATATAAATTATTATAAGTTTTTATCAAGTATTTATTTAAATAATTTGCCTTGTTTATAGTGGCTAATGTTATGAAACCAATGTTAACAAATCTTGGTGATGTTAAAAAACCAATGTCAGCAATACCTATTATTAAAAATGCAATTAGTAAACTTCAAGTACAGCCTTATCAACTAACTGAAGTCCATAGCCTATTGTGCCAAGCTTGCTTAATGTCTAATAATCTTAAACCTGCCCTGAGTATTTTAGATCAAGATATTTATATTTTAGGAACGGAAGAGGTAAAAGTCAAAATAGTACTACTCTTGTTACTAAAAGCAGTATCTAAAAAAAGTCGAATTACAGACAAAAAAATTTGAATTTTTTCACACATTTTCTATTTGAATATGAATATACAAAATTTAATTTTGCAGTACTCATTTTTTATATTATTATGCACAAAACAGTACTAATAAAATATCATTTTTTAGTTACTGCCTTTATTAGTAAAAAACTATTATTAATTTATTTATCCAGCTTTTTTTTTTTTTATATTATACTATTTCAGCCAGGACATTCATTTGATCCTAAATACTTTTTAAGTTATTACTATCTTGGTGGTGTCATCTACACAGCAATGAAAAATTTTCCTCGAGCAATAACATTTTATGAAATAGCTCTCACCACATTACTTCCAATAATGTCGCAAATTATGATTGAATCCTATAAAAAATATGTACTAGTTACCATTGTGCATTTAGGCACAGTACCTACACTTCCAAAACTGTCACCACCCTTGATTGAACGTGTATTAAAACCTGTATGTCAAGCATATTTAGATATCATACCAGCTTACCAAAGTGGAGATTCAGCAGAACTTCAAAGAATTATTACTAAATATGAAGATGTATATCAAAGGTACATTTTTATAATATATATAAATAGTAAATTTTATTTTTAAATTATTTCAAAATTTTTAAAATAGTCAAATTTTATTTCTTACAAAATTTTTTCATGAATTGGTAACAATTTTAAAACAAATATTTAAGTTACAAGTATTTTAGTACATTGAGTAAGTGTGATACCTATGTCTTTAGACAGATTATGAGTTATAAAAATACAGAGCTATACTCACACTCACTACATACCCAATTAATGTATTAAAATGTTTGTATCACAATAATTTTTTGCTCTAAAATTGTTATTAAACTATTAATTAATATCAAAAAAAATATTTTGTAATAAAGCAATTTTTTAAAAATAAAATGAAACATATTTTTTTATTAAAAACAAATAATAAAAAGTATGATTTTAATATGTAGTTTAAGAATGCATAAATTATTTTAAAAAAAATTATAGTGAAATTTTAATTGTATTTTAAGTTATAAGTGTATATATATTGAAAACCATTTATATAGACAATCCGAGTGTAATGTCCTTAGATTGCATCACCTTACAAAACTTCCATACTGTGTATAACAATTTATCACTTATAATGAATGACTATATGGATATTAGACAGTTATTTTTTATTATATTGGATAAATATTACATCTATGATGACTGACTACCAGATATTACTAAGTTTATCTTTGTTTCATAATGTTGTCAGTGNCATTTATATAGACAATCTGAGTGTAATGTCTTTAGATTGCATCACCTTACAAAACTTCCATACTGTGTATAACAATTTATCACTTATAATGAATGACTATATGGATATTAGACAGTTATTTTTTATTATATTGGATAAATATTACATCTATGATGACTGACTACCAGATATTACTAAGTTTATCTTTGTTTCATAATGTTGTCAGTGTAATTGATCATAATCTTTGAGTGATTAACTGCATTTTGTTTTGATGTGTTTAATAATCAATAGAAAGCAATTCACAATTGAATAAAAAGCAAATGTCATTTCTCATTAAAAAAAAGGTTAAAATAATTTTAACAATTATAAATTATGTGTAGATCACTATACAATTTCTAACATATGAAAAGCTCATTACAAAATAAAACATTTTCAATAAAACATCAAAACGAAAAATTATCTATTGAGAACTGAAATTATAAGCATACGGATTAAGACACAATTTTACTATAATGGTTTAAAAATCAAAGACATCTATACATTCCAATTAATGAACCAATTCTTTAACAAAAAGCCAAACTAGCAAAAGGTTTTGGTTAAAATAATTTTAATTGTTCTGTAGGTTGGATTCAAAAACTTAGATCAAGACACAATATTGTATTTTCGAGAATAAGATTATAATACACTGTAATAACACAAAAATATAAGAATAAATTATTATGTTAATTTTGATAATAAGAAGCTAACATCAGATCTATAAAATGATCAAGAACTTATTTCTTTATTGAATACCAACTCAAAAAAGAGAATAGTCAAGATTTTTATACAATGTTCTAACTAAGATAACAAATATATTTATTTTTGAATGTTTTTTAGTTATGATTAAGTAGTAAAAATATAACACATCTATTATATATATTTATAATTGAGTATTTCAACATTTTGGTTGTAATAATTGGTTATTATGATCAATTTTTAATAATCCCTGAATGTATTATAAATGGTTTCTACTATATATATAGTAATTATATTTTTATTATTCAAAAACCACTTAATTAATAAAAAAAATATAAAAAAAAATTAATAATAGTTTTGCAGATAAATAATAACATTTCAATAATATTTATACTAAATAAGGTTGTCAAATTTATTTTTTCAAATGTAAATATACATAATTGACTAGCTTATTTCTTTGATAATGATTCGTCAATAACAACTTTTGGACCATTATTTTAAAAGTTATAAACATTTTTATATCTATACAGGAAAAAAAGTGAGAACAAAAAATTTCTAAAGATATAAATATCTGCTTCCACATCTCATCTTCAGCCATTACAGTCATTATTGTTAATAATGGCAATAATGATTCAAAAGTTATTATTGATCAGTCATTTTCTTAATTAGATCATTATCTAATAGATAAAGTAGTTAATTATGAATGTTGCCATTAGAAAAATTCAAGTTGACATCCTTATAAAATATAAGGGATGAACATAAAAAATACATCATAATTGATAAATAGGAAAAAGGTGGTATTAAAAGAAACGAATAAAAAAATTATCCATATTATTTCTATTTTTCTATCAATTAAGTGGCTAATTGTAATATAGAATTGCCCAGTGTATTTTTTATTTATTCTATGTTTAATTTTTACTATAATAGAGATAAAAATAGAGGTTTAGTTAGGCAAGTAGTTAAAGCATTACATAGAAAAAATATTCTTCGGTTAACAAAGACATTTTTAAACATGTCAATTGCTGATTTGGCTGAAAGAGTAAACCTACCTAGTGCAGAGGAAGCTGAAGAGCATCTTATTACTATGGTAAAAACAAATGCATATTTAAATATTTTAATAGATATAAATGACTAAACTTTTAATAGATTGAATCTGGAGAAATAAATGCAAAAATCAACCATAAAGATGGAACAGTTATGTTTAGTGATGCTCCAAAAAAATATGAAGATCCCATTGTTTTAAAAAAAATATTAGATGAAGTGAGAATTAATTTATAATATAGTTCATATATAAATTGTTATATGGATTAATTTCTTTTTTAGATTACTAGTAAAATAGCATTTAGCAATACAGTACGAACAATGGATGAAGCAATAACGACTAATCCTATGTTTGTCAAGAAAACTAGTACTGAAGAAGACGGCCTATCTATTGGTGGACAGAGTTCATTAAAAAGTTATCAGTCTTAAGGAAAATTTCATATAAACAGAGCCCCTTATAAATTTTTTAATTATAAAGTTATGTGTTAAATTCACATTTATCTAGCAACATCTTAACACATTATTACTTTTTACAAACTTAGATATGTAAATATTTTATAATAAACATTCAGTAAAATTTCCAATAAAAATTGTCATGGTACCAATAATTTTGTTTAAATTGTATAAATAACATTTTTAAAATGCCATTTTCAAGTGGAAATTTGTTTAAATAAAATGTATTTTTATTAACTTATTGAACTTTTAAATGTTATTACTTAAATTATTAAAAAAAGAATTTGAAATGTATTCAAAATGTACTCAAACAAAATTTTTTTTTTTTAATATTATGTTATAATATACAATAAATTATTATTAATTACTAATTAAAAAAAAAAGAATATTTGTTAAATAAATTTATATGTTAAGATTTTTTATAAACCTATTACTTTTGATTAATATTTCATTAATTGCAGATAAAATTATAACATAAATAATTTCAAAGACTAATAAAATATAATATAAAATAATAATCGAACACATATTCTTCAATTTTGAAACAAACAAAATAAATTTCAAACTACATTACATTTTAAACCATTTAACATAATAATTAACAAAAAGTAATTTTATTACTAAAATTTGNATTTTAAACCATTTAACATAATAATTAACAAAAAGTAATTTTATTACTAAAATTTGATTTAAATAAAACCCCTACCATCTCCGTGCATTGCAGGCTAATTAACTTGTATTCATTTTCAATAACTGGAGTTATTAATTTTATTAAATTAAAAAATTTTTATTGTTTCGTATTGAAAACTAAATTAGTTTAGTTTAGAGCTTTTTAAATAGAGTGAAATCTCGGCTTAATTATAATTACGTCAATTATAACTTTTAATTTAAACTATTATTAGTTTAATGTAATAATGAAATACTAGTAGTTATAATAAAAATTGAAACCGCAAGTTTGTTATCAAAGTAGTAATACAACAAGGATTATTATCTATAAACCTCAGTATAACTATATATAAAAAACCTAGCACCATCACCATATCACGTGACATTTCTTAACGCCTAGAAATTTAAATTGGTACGTTAAAACATCTCATATAGTTTGATGCCGTTTGGAACTCTATGTCTGACTGAACGTCATATTAAGCGTCAATAGGGGACACCAGAAAACTTCTAACTACCTCCTGAACTCCTGGTATTATTTTTTCATTCTAATAAATTTCACCATATTTACGTACACGTAGTGTCATGTCAATAAAACTGCAGATTACCTTCTGAATTCCTGGTACATATTTCCATCATTTTGATAAAGCAGCCTGTCCACATATACAATGCCGAGTAAGTTGCCTATACACAACTCCTTATATTACATGGAATGTATATAATCTTCTTTTTCTTCTTCTTCCTTGCCTTAATCCCAACTACTTGAGGTCGGCCACCCTTATCCTAAACTTCCACTTGACACGATCTCCACATCATTACGCTCACATCAGCTGTCATATCGCATTCGATAATATCCCTCCATCTCTTTTTTGGTATTCCTTCAACATTCATTTCTATAACTGTTCTTACAGCTTCCGATTCTTCTCTCCTCATAACATGACTAAACCATCTAAAAAATCCAATTATTTAATCAAATTGTCTGCCGGTAATTTCAGAGAAAATTCAACACTATCTGATTGATTATTATCAATATTAATTATTCGTTACGTATAATTTTAGTTTCAGTTGCTAAAGAAACACAAAATTATTCTACAAGATGTGTGGGTCCTTGTTTTATGAAACGTTTGCATAGACATAAATATTTCTTCAGATTTAAACTTAAGTTACAAAGTTTAAAAATATATATATATATTTTTTATGCTTAATATGTACAAAAAATAAAAAAAAATTATCTAAGGAAAATAACTAATGCAAAATATTTATTTCATCATAAGCTATTGTGAATGTGAAAACTTGCAAAACCATCAAGTATTGTAAGTAAATGTACCCATAATAAATATAAAAAATAATTCAATATCGATTCTTCCATGAATTTGTGTTATCACATAATAACTTGGAATTTCCTTAATACAGATAGACTTTAAATTTGACTATCAAATTGTTTAACTTGATTTTTTGGAAACAAGTTATTTAATATAGAGTTATGTTATTTTTTCTAAGTAAACTGTAATGATGGAAAAATACTTGAATTCATGTTAACTTGATCAAACAGAAAAGGAAATTTGATATAATAAAAATAATATATTCATATATTACAGCTACATAAATTTATAAAAAAAAATTTTTTCTTCTTTCTACAGTTAAATTCCAGTAATTTAATCCTCGAGTGCAGAAAAGTAATCTTGATATACTTGAATGTAATGTTCTTTTTCTGATGGTGTCATTTGACTTATAGCATCAGTCATGTTTACTACTTCTGTAATTGGTACTCGTTTACCACCAACACTTACTAAAGGAACATCTTCATCTTCTTCTTCTTCAGAAGTTAATTCCTCAACTCCTAATAAAACAAAAATAATTATTTTATTATTGAAATTTTAAATATTTATATGATGACAAGAAAAATAATTTATCTTGTCATATAAATGTCCTTAACTATTGTCGACCCTAAGTATGTCACAAATTATTTATGATATATAAAATTAAAAAATTCACACCTGAACCAAGAGAAGGTTCGTTTTTAATAGTTTTTGATTCATCATCACTGGAATCAGCATCTTTTTTACCAGATAAATCAGTTTGATCTGCTCGTTTTTCATGTTGTAATAATACAGTCATTATGTCAACATCAGGAGTAAAGTCAAGAGCAGCACTTTCATTATTATCTTTATTGTCTATATCAACCGAATCCTATAAATAAATTTAAAGTTCAAGTTTTGTTTAAAAAATAAAACATTAATAATAATATTAATAACTATTTTGAACATACACGTGTTGATGTATTTTCTACAACTGTACTTTCTGTTAACCAAACTGGTCGTTCTTTAATAACTGGACGATTATCTTGATCATCTTCTCCAATAGTAACTTCCATTTTATTGCTGTTATTTTCTATATTTCTTAATTTATCAGGTCCCCAGCGATCCATATTATTATTTTGTTTGTTATTAGAGTTTTGTAAGTTTGAAGAGTCCAATCTAAAACAGTAAAAATATATTATACAAAAATGTCTATTTGTTTAATAATTCAAATTTTAAACCCATGAATAGTGGTTGGTTCAGGTTCGAGAAGTTCTGGAGCAAGTCGTATCCCATCAAGCTCACGAAGAATTGAGTAAAATGGTTCCATAATTTCATTAAAGTTAGCTAGCATAACACGAGAATCTTGTTGAGGTAGTACAGAAGTATCTTCTTCAACTAACTCCCCACAGTAAGTACAATGAAATTCATTAGACTGAAAGTCAAACAGCATATCTGCCTATATAAAATGAATAATACATATTAATAACAACCAGTTTACCAAAATTAAGTTATATTCTATAGTTTCTAAAAAGAAATTATTAATTAATATAAGACTGGTTAATTTTGATTATTTAGTTAATATATAAAAAAAAAGAAATTTGGTTTAAACAAATTTTATTTTATTTCACATGAATATCTAATAGTGTATCAGAAAACATGTAAAAAAAAGAAGCACTGTTTGGTGTAGAATTTGTGACCCAAGACATCGTACAAATATATCTAATCGCTAGATCATAAGGCACTTATATCTCACATGTCAAAACACTTTTGTTTAGGATGGGTTGTAATAAACAACTGAGGAAGATATGGTACTATGTCATGATAAAAAGTAATATTTCTAAATCAATAAATTATGTTAATTAAAAATATACATGTTTATTTAAAATTAAAATTAAATTTAAAACATTAAAACTAAAAAATATTTAATTAAAATCACAAAAACCACTAAAAAATTGTAGATATAAATTTTTGGGAACAATATTACCATTATCAAAACACATAAAAGTATATAGTATGTGTTTAGTGTTTTGATTTAAATATTTTTAATTTGTTAAATATTAGCCACAAGTGATGAATTTTTATTATATATTTTATACAAAGTTAATTAGTTATTTTATAAAATTAAATTTTAATAATTTATTAATTTATAATAAAAATACTTTATATAATATTAATATACAGCTAATTATAATTTTCTATGTAAATTATAAATAACTATTAAAATAATTCATATTTACTCAAATATACATGAAAATATTAAATACTTATAATTTAGATGGGTTTTAAACTAATGTAAAAAAATTATACATATTAGTAAATATATACCTCTAAATCTGTAAAAGTTTTAAAACATTGAATACATTTAAAGCTTGCTCTACTTGTTGCATTTCTTTCCTGTGTTTCCATTTTTTTTCTCATACAATCAAGTTTATACTTAACCATATTTACAAAAGACTAAAAAATTATTATCATTGAAATACTTTGATCAATATCTAGCAAATAATTATTACCTTATAATTTATAAAGTAATAATTGACTTTTTGTGCTTTACTATCAGCTCCAGTTTCCATTCGCAATCTGGTTTGCAAAAATTTTTCACTTCTTAATATAGATATTCGCTGTCTTAACATTTTTCTTTCAAATTTAAGTAACTCACACATATCGTCTTCTTTCATGCAAGGATTTCGAACTAAGATATCAATTATAAGTGCATCTTCAATCGTGTAAAAACCTCTTACAACCAAACGTGCAAGGCGTTTTAGGCTGGTTGGGACTTCCATAACAACTTCCCCAGCTGACATTTCTAAAATAAAGGAATTAATACAAATGAAAATTTTAATATTAATAATAGTCGAAAAATGTAAAAATCAAAGATAAAAGTATTATAAAAATAAAAATGTAACTATTATAGTTTCGGCCTTCATCATCAATCCATGATGATTTTAATTTAAGTAACCATAGGGTTCTTAAGTTAAAATAATAAACCAAAATAAATATAAAAAAATACTAAGAACACATTAATCATTATAAAAACAATAATTAAACCATACTACTCAAAATATATAAAATCATGAAAAATTAAGGTAAAAAAATGATAAATTTTAAAAATAATGCTCTAGATATTAATTTGACTAAATTTACAGTGAAAATAGCTTAGATTGACCATCAAGTATATAGTTCACTAAGTTTAAATTTATATTGTTTGTTAACACTCAATATAAAATTGGATAGTTGGTTAACTTTTATTCAAACTTAGGCTACATTTTCAATTTTATTTTTTTGAGTTTACTTATGTTAAAGAGATAAATTTAGAAGTGGCTTATTTAAGCCATATAGTTTTTTTTATATCGCAATTTTACAGTATAAAATAATCCTAAAACGGTTTACAAATCAAATTTATGTTTATTTAAAAAAAATTAACAAATATAAGTTTTTAAGTAACAAATATACATCATACAAGAAATAAAATTTTTTTATATTATAATAACATAATTGCTTACTAATTTAATAGTAAAAACTAATTAAGATCATACAAATAAATAAAATTCATATTACACAGAACCATATTTTAGATGTAACGTTAAATAATATTTAACTTCTATAAAATTTACTTTCGAGTGCTATCACTACTATATCTATTATCAATTTAAACAATAACATACGTTTCCCTCCGGGCAATAAATGTATGATGATAATCATATATTAACAGGTCAGCAATAATAACGAATCTATTTAAAGTTTGTATTTTAATGTTTTTGTTTTCATAAATCATAAAAACAAGTTTATTTCAGCTTTTTTTATATATTAAAGGGCCTTTTCCCCCTAGGCTGCTTTTTATAGAACGATGAAGGCCGCTTTAACGTAATTCAGTTTTTAAATCTAATTTTAGACCTTTTTTTTATTTGCTCATTATTTTTATTTAAAGAGTTTTACAAATATATTTTGAAGCGAGGTGGTCCACTATAAATATTGTGCCTTAATATAGCCTTGTTTTCACTTAATTTTGGAGTATAAATCAATTAATCAATACATGAATTAATTTACATTTTAATTAATTCATCACAATAAAATATGTATAAGTTAATAAAATTAACTTTCAATATTTAATATTTTTAAATATATAAACAGATGTAATAATAATAATTCAACGAGTATTTAGTGAAAATTATAGTCGCATAACTACAGAATATATGTTAAAAATTTGTAGTTTATTAAATTTACAGTTAATTGCTGTGAGTAATAGAAAGTATTTTATTTAGCAACCAAACATTAATTACTTTTTAAGTATATTAAAAAGCCCTACCATACTTATTAGATGAAAAAATGTCAATAGTTCAGTTTTTTTGAAATTACATCTTCATTTTTGGTATAAAAAGCTATGGGGATAAACAAAAATCATCAGTCTTTGTCTTCAATTTAATAGTTTTTAAAAGAGTTTAATTAAATTTTTATAAGTACAATGTTTGCAGTAAGTTATGAGACTATGTAATTATTTAATTACATTAAACACGACGAATATTTGTTACAGGCTGCTACTTTTTTTGTTGTCTTCATCAATTTTTGTTTAGCTGCTCCTTCACCTGCCTCTTTCCAACAATACGCACCGTCATCAATTAAGCCCCCAGTTGCATTTCTTCAAAACGATCGCGTAACAGACAATTCTGGTCAATATTCTTTGTTGTAAGTTTATATACGGGTTTAAACATAATTTATTTGAATATAAAATGTATGTTTAATTTTAGATATAGATCCGAAGATGGTATTACTAATTCCCAACAAGGCGCTCTAGCGGCAAACGACAAAGAAAACGACTACGTAATGGAACAAAAAGGATCATACTCATATAAATCGCCTGAAGGAATTGAAGTTAAAATGAACTACAGTGCAGGTAAAGATGGATTCAAAGTATGGGGATATCCATTGCCTGATATCAAATAATTGTAGATACTACTTAGAAAACGCCGTAACATTTTATTTACCAAAATTTATTTCTTAGTAATTATTGAAGTTATTTTTAAAAAATGTTTGCATATTATTAATAATTATACAACTAAATTTATTTAACTTATTGTTAATTTATTTAACTCTTTCCAATCGTTGGTAATTATAATAATAATTTGATGATTTTATAAATAAAACCAAAATAAATACACAATTATGCTACTTGAAGATACTGAAAAGTAGTGTCATCTAACTTTTACTTTTAAAGTATTGAACATAAGCATAGTAATATGTAGTTTTAATATCGAAAGACTTATAAAAATGTTGAAAAGTAAGAATATGTAGGTAAAGATCATATAATTTTCTTTAAATATGTTTTTATTTCATTTATTCATATTTAATAGTTTTTAAGTTTTACGTTAGGAGGCATTACTTTTAGCCCTAACTTGTAATTATATATAATTTCAATACCATGCATTATTTGTCACAATAATGTATCACAGTTTTACACACACAAAACTCTTAAATTTTTTCAAGGATCTTTAATAGTGATGTATCTCGAGAAACAATTAGAACTTAGCTATTTTCGTTGACTTAGTTAAGTTGAAATTTTTGTTTAAAATACCCCAAGAAATAATCTCTAATAAATATAAATAATCTATTCATCATTATATTAAGTAAAAACATAGACAGTAAAATGGAATCAATGAAATAAACTGAGTATAATATTTTCAATGTTAAAAAACCCAGCACAGTGGGGATGTGGCATAATTGGATCAAGTATAAGAATGACAGTGATTAAAATCACTATCATAAAAAACGCTTCGAGGCAGATATGTAGATAGTGTTTAATTTTAAAAAATTGTTGGAATATTCCAAAAACTACATGATCTCCTATTTCCTCATTTATATCCTGATTAAAATAAAGTATGTCGAATGAAAAAGGGATATAAATATTATTTCTCATAAAAAAATTGTGTTGATGCATATACTTTTCAATAAGTTATAGCATTATAAACTTAAAAATGTAAAAAATAAAATCGAGAATATTCACACAAAAATAGCATTTGGTAGCCATTATCATCGTGAAGACAAAATGAAGTCCGAAATTTTTTTTTTTTCATAATTAAAGTATATTACATTATCTTTAATTTAAAATATGTATATAAGTGTCAGAGTATCCGGGAACACTTTCAAAATTTAAGTTGAAAAAGTTGTCATTTTATCAAATATATCAAATGATAAGTAAAAACATCATGCATCTATCAAAAAAAAATTATATTGATATAATCATTATTGAAAAAGTAATGATAGTTTTAAGTAAAAAATATTGAAAAATTGTCGAAAATTAGCGGTTTTTAAATTTGTAATTTTTTTGGAGATTTTCCCCATTTACGGGGAACGAGGGAAATTTTTTCAATTTTTTAGGATAATGTCTTTTTAAACTATATAGTCTATTAAAGTGCCTTTTATATTATAAATAGTAGTCTTAATACAGTTCAGATAACTAAAATTATTTCAATTGCGTAATAGTTCAGAAGAAAACGTTATTAAATTTTATTATTATAATTAGACAGAATAATATTCTGTTGAATATTTAATTACATTGAAATAGTTAAAAATAAATTATTGAAGGGATTAATATAGAGTTAGATATGTTCATGTTATAATATCAGTTTAAAATACGTAATACATCAATAATGTAGTAATAAAGCTGAAGGCTAAACGGTCGTTTGCGAAGGCATAATCCATAATCTTGATTCAGTTGTATGCTAAAAGAATTCTCATTAATTATTTTAAATTGATGTTTTGTTTCTTACATGACTAACGCCAAGCCGTTCATGTTCTTTTATGTATAAAATGATCGTGTTTAGAAGACCGCGTCATGTTTATGATTAAATAAAATCGATTGATAAAATTGTTATTTAAAACATTATAACATAATAAAATATAAATGATAAATGATCAATATCGTATATAAAATAATATTTTATTACACATGATTACGCATATTATTTGTATTTATAGTAAATTTTTAGGTGTTAATCTTAAAAATGTTCTTAGTTTAAAATAATATTTATAAAATGTTCATAGACATAGTTGTAATCTTACTTTTATAATAATTAGTATTTTAATAAAACATTTAGATTTTGAAGTGAGGCGGATCTAGATGAACTACTTATTTGACGACAAAAATACTTTCAAAACACTTTAATAAGGTGTGAACGAAACAGCGTAGTGTAATACATTTTTAATGTTCTTACCTAATAACTAATTATAATTGTTTTTCGATAATATAATTGGGAAATTCGTAATATATTTTCAAAGCCTTTGGCCATTATTGTTGATTAAATCGTTTACTTTTTTGTCAACTTTATTATACTAGTTTTAGAAATTCTTTTTAAATGTTTCAACCTAATTAGATAAATTACTCAAGTAAAAAAATAAAATTAATTTAAAATGGCTTTTTGTCAATAAAACTTATTGTCGAAAAACCATTTTAAATTAATAATTGATACTATCAGTTATATTCGGTAGTTATAATGACCAAATAAAATTGTTCAATAGTTTTCATACACTTGAAAATACTTATTAATTTAAGAGTTCATGTATCAAACTAAAAAATTCGAACTATGAACATATTTTACCTTCACATTAACTTATGGTTATGTTTATGTTCCGAATTTTGTCAGAACTAGAAAATCTTTACTTGAGAAACCCATAACAATCGCAATCCGGTAGAATTAGGAGAAATATCTGTTCTGGTCTTGACAATATTTCATAATTCAAAGGTCATATATCAATGTGGACGAAATTACTTATTGAATTGCTAATTGCTTTCCACTATTTTAAAACACAATTTTATAAGATGGAGATAATTTTTATTTCATTAAAAAAATAATTTCTCGGGCAAAATTAGTTCTTAGAACTAATTGTTGGGTACAGGTTTTTTTCACTATCAACATGTGTATTATACTACAGGTGATATGATGTCATTATTAAAAAATTCTATCTAATGTGAAAGTTTGGAGCATATTATATTGTATAATTAAATTAAAATTGAATGTAATATTAAATATAAATTGAATATAATTAGTATAATAAATAATAATTTGAATAATATGCCACATGATCATGACTTCATTGAATGAGCCATGCTTATGTATTATTAAACAATGTAGTAATATATGATGAGTATTGATCAATATCAATTGAAAAAAATGTTCACTTTTTTTTTGGTTATCGATCATAACATAGATTTATCAAATGTTTGATTTATATAGTTGTCTTATGCAGCAAAATTCAACACCCTGTAGGTTTTCCAGAAACCGTATCATTTATTACTAATAAATATGTTGAGTTATTTTTTATGTGTTTAATGTGTAGAAAAATAGGCTAATATTTAGGATGTTAATATGACTGTTAATGATTATTAAAAATGTATTCAAAAATATAAAAACAAAAAAAATTACTGATTTTTATCTTTACAAATTTTACTTGTTAATTATGTTTTATTTTATTGGTTTTATTTATGTTTGTTTATAACTAAGTTATTTTTTTTAATTTTTGTTTTGTCGAAAAAAATTAATTTTTCAATACGTATTTTAAGCATATAAAAGTTGAATTTTTAAACGCTAGTCATTCGAATTCTCTAAAAATAATAATTAAATAGTCATTTGTTAAAAAGTACCTACATCCACTATTTCTAATTTTCAGGAGAGACAAAAAACAATCTTTTATTAATTGAATTATATATATTATGCATATTTTAAAACAATATACACACATAAATATAATTTGAAAAAAACCTTTTTTTTTAATAATGGCGTATTTGTATTAAAAAATTATTAATGCAATAAAAAAATGTGTCATGTGTCCCAATTAAAAAATGACTATTCAATTATCTCATGAAAATTATTTTTGGTATTTTTTAGTTTCATGCATTTATTTATTAATTAGTAGTCATTAATAACATTTTTAATAATTCTTTATACATGTTTAATTAGTTTATAAAATAATGTCAAAACCCTTATGAGGTATAAGAAATAAATTAAAATAGTAATTAATAACTGATATATCAAGAAATATATGAAACTAAAAAATAAATTTTTTACATTGTTATGTTAAGAGAAATGAACCGTTAAAAGAGTCATTCTGTACATACTTAGTATGTGTAATAAGGTGGATCAAAAAAAGTCGATCATCGAAATTTTAATGAAAACTATTTTAAATTTATTTTATACATTAAAATAGGTATTTTGTAGAAATTTGAAATTTTTAAAAAAAATTTTACTGGTGGCTCAACGTGTTTTTAGTATTTTGACCAAAAATACCCCCCCCCTCCACCACCAAAATGGTCACTGTTATTTAATTTTTGGTCAAATATTATGATTAGTATATCAAAATAGTTTGTTTGATTTTTACTGTAGAATAAAAATTTTTTGGTTTCAAAATTTTAAATCAAAAATTGATAGTGTGGATATCATAATTAACGTCATTATATGGTATATTTTTAATAGGTCTCATGTAAGCTTAAAGTTTTTTAAATTTTTTTTTTTTTATGCAGTCTGGCTGATATTTATGTATATTATAAGTAGAAAAAAAATTCTTCTCTAATCTTAAAAATTATACCTTTTTTTATAATTAATGCATAAGCTAAAATATACGACATTCTTGAAAATATGAATAACTGACGATTGTCTTTACATACTTTACAAATATTTTTTTTTAATTAAACAATTTATTTTTTATTAAATATAATACAATAAGAAGGTAAGATTCATTTTTTGGGTAACATTAGAGCTAACTTTCTACAGTTTGGGTAATCATTTGATGCTCTTCTACAACTTGTAGTAAATATTGTCTTTGGTCCTCGTCAGTTGTTATACAATTATTAAAATTGCGTTATTAAAGCTATCCCTCTTTTTGTTGGATAATTTACCACAAATAAGGATTCAATATTAGTTTTTGTTCAATTATAATTTGAATTTTGATGCCATTTTTTGAGATCATCGTGTAAAAAGTTATCATTTATTTTAAGTTAGAAATAATTGTTTGGTGTTTTCTGTGACAAATTGATTTATACCCTCATTACCCTTTACTGTTTTGATTCCAATTCGTTT